ACAGTGGATATTTTATGTCATAATTTACGTTTAAATAAAAACTTTTAAATAGATTAGTTTTCATTTTCCTAGTGATCTATATCTAATGTTTAGTTCCTATTAAGACATTAGTGTAAAAATCTATGTACATTAATAATCATGTAAGACAGTGAGTAATATAACGATTACTGGCAACCTCGTCCACGAACTTTTTGAACAATCCTCGTACATGTATCCCTTACATACATTGCATTATACATGGAAAATAAAAAAGTCTACATAACGTGTGGGACGGTCTATCACAAATGTACCACACTAGACACACCACATACATCTCTTCCATCCATGATTTCTTGTCTTGATATTTGAAAGAGATGGAAAGTCATTCTTTAGTAGAGCTTCAGTAGATGAATCATTATCAGCAAAAGTAGTCTTGATCTTACATTCATATATCGTATACACCTTACTCAATGCATTTATCTAAATTATAAAAACAATACTATCTGGAGTAAGTCAAAATACTTAAAAAACATAAAATGTTGAGCTAAATATTTATATCGTAAAAGTGCTCCCATAAACTGTGCTAGTGTAAAAGTAATTTGTCAACTGTAAAATTCAGCGCTTCTCGTAAAAGTCCATTATGAGCGCGTTTTTGCATGAAACCAGTAAAACTGCACACAAAAAACTCTCGCACATTTTCTAGCAATTCTACATAGATTTGTCAGTTTTCCGATGATTCATAATTATTAACAGCTATTCTATTTTGGTCAAAAAATGCTTCACGGAACATGCCACTTTTTTGCACTTATGCAAATTTGTATTTCATAGCCATGTTTTAGAAATTGAAAATTGCACTGTTGTAGTCTGGAAAGATAATTTACCTCCTGCTGAAATAATGCTAGAGCATCATTTGGTGTTATTTTGAATGAAATTGAAGGGGCTATGACTATTTTATCGTTAATTTTAGATGATCAGTCTTGAAATTAGTCAAGGGACTAAAATGATTTAAATAGATGCTGCTGGTAAATGCCTACACGTTCAACTATATTTACGTACAAATTGCTCAAAATGTAGCTGCATTATAAGAATGGATTGACATGTTTTGATAATAAACTTTGTGATAATCCGCTTATCGCATAGACTATGGATTTTGCATAGTTTCCATATACTCAGTACTACATAAACCTGATTTTAAGATACCGCTTATATCTGATACCCCATTATCAGACATTTTAGAAAAAATAGCGACATGTCTTTTAATATTTGTAGATTTTAAGACGAAAAAAGAAATTGAAAGTCTACAGAAACAAGAAGAATAAAATAAAAAAAACTGTGAAAAGGCTTTACAAGTTTGGAAATAATTGCTGAATGTCACTTCACTTAATTGCTCCGTGAATCCTTAGAACGCACGATAAAAATCATCGTATATTTTTAAAGATAAGTATTTTATGCGTCATTCTACAAAATACACATTACATTTTCCACAATCAAATCAACGTATCTGCGAACTTTTTAACAGCCCTCGTACATCATATGCATGTATATGTTTATATCCTGCAAAAGGTGAGTGACCAATTTTTGCGCTTATTCAATTTAGCATAACACAATTCAAATGAGGACTTTATCAGTATCACTGCTGTACTAAAACTAAAAAGAAAGACCCTCTGGTCAACTATCCAGCATGTAAACTGCATTTCAACTGGTCTGGTTAAGAATTTTTCGTCTCTGGCTCTCCAACAAGACTCTGTGGCCTGGTTGCACTATAGAGACAGACATCTCTTTCTTCAATATGGTGACACAAATAGGTGGAGTGTTAAAGAAAATTTACTACATGGGTTGGTCCCATACCAAAATGTACCTTCATGATTGCAAAAAAAAAAATCCAATACTAGAGGTTCTGTAAGCATTGAGCTCACTAAAAGATACCCTCTGCCCCTCCCATATGTTTATAAGGGTAATATAATTTTTTTCCTCTAGAAAAAGTGAAATAAGTGTCAGATCAAAAGTAAAATAGGAGGTGCACAATTGCATAATAAAACAAAGAATTTGTGAAAGCATCATGAAGTTTTCTTCAGTGATATTGGAAAAGTTGCTATATTAATGTAATACATTCTATATATTAGATAATTGTAATCTAAGCATTTTGAAAGTATAGGCATGTTCCTGCGTAATACAGGTATGCCAGACTGTAAAGAACGATCCAGATAATATAATTGTTTTTGGCATCCAAAAGGTGCATGATTTTCCGATTGAAAATATCTTTGTTGTTTTTGGAGAGCAGATCCAATGGGTACCAATTGCCTTATTAGCTGACATTTTTTGTATTGGTATGAAACAGAATTTGTAGAAAATCTTATGTATGAAAAGAAAAAAAACACACTTATTTGTTATGGCCTTCATCTCGACATTTAGATATATCGACGAATAATATTGTATAGTCGAGTAACAATTGTAATTTCCATTCTGATGTCTATATTTCTGGTGAGCCTGAGACAAATGACACCACAAAGTCTGCCAAATCTGTTTCATATTTGAATATTTTATTTGAAATGGACGTTAGAAAATGACGAAAAGGTCAAGATCTAGTAAATGACTTTAGAGTAATTTTTGGTACTAGATCCTTTATCACGTTATAATCGATGTCAACTTTCTTTTCCTCGTACTTTACGGCTTTAGCAGAATTATGAAGAAAATAGGGTATTTTCATGACATTCATTGAACAAACACATTGAACAAACACATTAACGTTTTCTGAGAGACTGTAAGCAATCTGGATACATTTCCTTCGTCGAATATGAAAAAACTGCCATATTCCTGACTGGTTTTCTTGATATTGCCTTGAAAATGATGGTTCAAAATACAGTTTTTATCTTGTTTACCTTCAAATTATGACTCGAAACACCTAAGCTTAAGTTGTAAAGCATTCATAAGGGAATTTATTTCTCAAATTTGATAAATCTGTAGGCACCTTTCATTTACTAGATCTTGACCTTAATGGTAATCTAACAACCAAGCTCTATGATAAACATGATACTTCCCTTATTTATGCAGCAATATACCTTGTGCATTGGGTTTAAATATATTAACTGATTAGATACGCAAGAGTATACTCTACGTATAAACAATTTCTAAAGTGAAGTGAATAATTGACAAACAAGTTGATGAAACACGAATTTCAACAGTCTCGTTTAAAGTCATCATTTTGCAAGTTCTATGCTCGATACAAAGACCTTGTTAGCAAGTACAATTTATCATTGAGTAAAATCCTCACTGTCGATTTTCATACTAATTGTTTTTCCATTTTTATACACTGAATTGACGACGAATTAATTTCCGTCACTTCCCGACGGGGATGCTCACTCCTCCATGGAACCTGATCCCACCTCTGATGTTTTGGAGGTCCGTGATGCTCTGCTCCTAATTTGTATTGTTTTATGGAGTTTTGATCTTTAACACTGTTTGTTATTTCCATATGTTTAATTTCTAAGCTTTATCCTTGTAAACATCTTTTTTCCCTTTTTAACAAGAGCATTCTGACATTCTCATTATCATACAATGTCAGGTTTGTTTTCCAAGGTTAAAATGGGATGATTAGATACTGTTGTCAAAGTGCTATTTTTACTGTCAAGACTGTAATAGGTTGCATTTTGTAATTTGGTTCACCGACAAGCAGAAAAAAATAGTGTGCATATTAAATGTATCTAGCTGACACTAACATCCGCATAAAATGTTAATTAAAAATGTCGTTAAATAATTTTAAAGTAATTTTAAAAGTAAATGTGTCAAAATTATGTGTTTCTTTTATGATATCTGTTGCATACAAAGAAAGACTTATGAAAATAAAGAGTATCTAGCTAAGATATGACAATTAAACTGCAAGAAAAAAATGCACAGAATAAGTGCCGGAAAAACAAAGATTGTATCTACCGTTTCGTTGTTTTCGTGTATGTCATGGTCACGCCACTTTTATTTTTAGCTCATTCTTGTAAACAAAATTTATCTGGAGCATGCAAAGGTGAGAAATATGTTCTAACAACGTTTCAAAAAGATTGCATAAAAATTCCTTGTCTACTTACATTCATCCCTGAACAGTGAGGACCATGGTAACTAAGAAACTTTTTCAACTTTTTTAGCGCACGCGTACAATATGGAGGAAAAAGCGTTGAACAATATTTTCGTTATGGGATATACTGAATTTTTTTCTACTTTTATTATTCTCCTTAAAAATAGAATTTTTTTTTGGTTCTGAAACCTGTAATATTTTTGAAACCTAACACTTTTATGAATTGAACAAAATTTACACTAGTGCTAGTCATGCAAAACAACTCCACATTTGTCAACTTAATCTTTGTGGGTCACGGTGTCTCTTTAATGTGTACTTGTTGAAGCTGTAATATCAGTAATAGAATAAACTAAAGTTTTCTCTTTATATGTAGAAAAGGGTTTTTTTGTACATGTTTTGCATGGAATTTGAAAAAGATTAAAATATTACTTGTACACTTAAAACAAATGAAAACACTTCTTTACATTTAATTTCTTTTAATTGAATTTCAAAGGCAACTTATTTGTTGATACTGATTATATAAGATTAAAAACTGCGTATTTAAAACACTTATGATAAATTTAAGGTCTAAAAAATATTTAGTTGGAATTGGGTACACCCTAGATACTTAGGAAATTTTCTGCTTTTCTTCAAGAAAAGACTGGCAAAAGTATGGAAACGTTAAATATTTATCACGTAACAAACCATTTCTATTGCTAATACACTTTTCATGATATGTTACACGTGCAATATGACAATTTTGAAAGTATCCTGATTGAGTAACACATGAAATATTTTGATTTTTTATGATGAATAATTATAGCATATTCAAAAATTTAAACACATTTTGTGAAATAATACCTCAGAGCTGTAATTTTAGGTGACATCTGTTAGTTTATCAGTTTTCCAATTAATAATTGTCTGAGTCAGATTTTCGAAATCAAGGTCGCGAAGTAGATCCGAAATGTATAAATTGAAAATACAGCAGCACATTGAAGTGCATTCGGCATTTAAGTTAAAGTATGGCGTTCAAAAATAAGTCGGTTATTATGTTCTTTTTCGTCATACTTTTGGTCAACAACCCTGGACTTCTCCCAGTGGTAGGTAAGGATACCCTGCTATCATTTTTTGAAAATTATATTGATTTATTTTAGAAATGATACACGCAATATTAAATTATAAAAACCCTTTTATTATGCAGTATAATTAAATACATGGAGGAATGAGCATAAGTATACGCTGCCGACCGGTCTCACCCGCCGTGTGCACATCTTCATGATCGGGAAATAACGAAAAAAAACCGTTAATTCAGCGTATAAATAATGGATTTACAATTAGAATGACTTTGCATTTCACTCAATGATAAATTGTATTTGATGACAGTATCATTGTATCGACTATAAAATTTACAAAATGATGACTTTAAACGAGACTGCTGTTATTCTGGTTTCATAAACTTGTTTTAGAGAATAGTGTACGATCTTTTTTATAAAAGACGACAATTGCTGGGATCAGCTTTTCACGTTAATTTTAATTAAATATACCCAATACAAACTGATTTTTCTGCTTTATGGACGACAAAATCACTAATTTTTTTCGATATGACATTAAAACTCTACCTTTATATATTTTATACTCTGTCAGCGAGAAAGACTTAAATATCCGTACGCATTGTCATAAAACAGAGACGATAGAAAGGAGGCGACAAAGACAAAAAAAAACTCACCATTACAATAAGATTTGACTACCTATGTCATCATCTCACGTGAATTAACCCATTCAATATTCACAAATTGAATTTTATGACACTTTGTTTTTCTTCGCCTTAATCATTAGTAATTGTAATTTACGGATGCATTTTGTTAAGGATGACGGTCTTGAATTTATTATTTCCAGATCAAGGGATAAAACATAATTATCTCAAAAGCCTTATACTTTGGAACTTTTTAATATTTCTATAGGTATTTTAAAGTACGTTTGAAATTTATTCATTTTAGCATTTTCGTAATTAAGCTGCAATGGTGATTGATAAGACCATTAATAGTGCACAACTTCCCATATGCATCTTTCTTTCACTCAATCTTCGCCTTCGATATCAAATCAGTAATTCACAGAAATCCGAAATTGAAATATGAATATTGTGGTATTTGAGTTTTAACACTCAATATCGCTTAAGATATACTTTCAATGTTGTTAATTGTATTCTAAGTATCTTCATAAACCAGGTCGAATATATTATGCAAAAAATTATTATTTTCTTATAGATCAAGCCATAACTCGTTTTAAATACAAATATTATAAGCCAAAATGTAGGAGATGTAAAAAAACATACGAGTTTCAAAATGAGTAAAAGAATGAAGGTTACAGCTGTAGGTAAAATGAGGAATAAATGTATTGTCTCATTAAAATCAACACTTCTATTTCACTTAGTGGTAAAAAGCATCTAGTTGAGAAAACCGAAATTCATTAGACTTAAACAAGATGCAGAGTTGACGCATCCAAATGATAACTGAGTTTGGAGGATATAGGTTTCTGATATTTCTGAAAGTGATATATGCCTGTCTAGAGGTAGAATAATCTTTATAAATTACCTGATTTTTTTACTTTATTATTGAAATATCTTCAACCATTTTAAAAAGGAGAATACTAAAATGAGAATCCTCCGAGATAAGGATGACATCGTCATCCAGTATGGTTTTGAATGGACAATTTTAAAATGAAAACATTTGCGAAATTCTTATTTAATCTATAATTGTTGTTTGGGAAGTTACCATTAAATCAAACAATCGATTTAAATATATTTTTACTTTAGGGGGAGATTCTCGATGCTGGAATCTGAATGGTAGATGTCAATATAAATCGGAACCTTGTGCAAAATATAAACCGGGATTATGTGGTGGCCCAACCAATAGACAATGTTGTGTTATCGGTAAGCGAGATAATGCAAAAAATTTAAATAAACTAGAAATGCATTATTGCAACAGCAATAATTTCAAATGATTGCATGTGTTTCTGTATGGAATAAGCATTTTCAAAGAAAAATGCATTAAATTTACAATAAAATATCGTGATATTGAATTATAGTAAATTGGTTAATAAAAATTTTGAAAAGATAAGTGCCACAATAAATAACAAAGGCATTTGAAAAAAAATACAATATGCCTCTGCCATAACTTTTGAAGTCATTTTAAAGATCATCAAGAAATACTGAAACTATAACCTAGACATATATTAAATATTTGTTCAAAGGAGCTGATGTACAATGCTGGAGAAAAGGTGGTTGGTGCCGAAATTATTCCCGTTCCTCTAAATGTAGATTTCTAAAAGGTCTATGTGGAGGGGGTCGGTCACGCCAATGTTGTGTACCTAAGTAATCTTGGAAATAAAATTATAAACAACTTGAGTTTTCTTTTTTATTTATTGAAAAATATATATATACAATTTATAGGAATATTAGATATTGCTTTCTTCTTGAGGTTATTTTGAGTGCTTTTTGTTCTGTTAAAATATGAAGTGAGCAAATTAATAATAGCAATTATAAAAGGTTGTTGTACAATGTAATTGCGGTCTTGATGACATTACATGTGTCAATTGCATTGATATTGTAATACAGCAGTTTATGCATACCTGTGATATATATAATCTTAGAGATGATAAAATGTTTGTTAAGTTTTATTTAGTATGCCGAAAATATAATACAATTTCATCAAAATTCTGATCAAATTTTAACAGGTTTGGACGAGTTCCAAATATGGATGTCAAGAGAGCCAACTAAAAGTCGGTATGAATATACTTCAAACACACATGAATATTTTTTTCTGCATAATCAGCGAGAAAACAGCATCCCCCCGCCCTCCAGACCCCTAAAAACATTTTCCAAAGGATAATTAAACAGAGAACGGGTGCTATTATTTCTTCCTTCAAAAAGTTTTTTGGACAAGAAATCCGTTTAAAAAGTAACAATTTTGGTAAAATAAAGTATTTTCCAATTTTTATCGCGAGCAAACTTGACATTTTCATATGGTAAAACACAAACATTTATTAATTAATGGATGTAACAAATTAAAAAAGTTACCTGCAACGTAAGGAACAACTCCTTATTTCGCGACTCTAGAGCAGACGCTCAAACCACTGGGCAGCGAGAACGTCTCAGCCTTTAAGAAGTAAGGAATGCATTTGCTGTCAGGATTACTTACCCGACTATAGATATTGATTTTTACGGTCTAATACAAAGGACCGCTCGCCCCATACCATGTCCAGCAGATGCAGTTGAACTTGCAACGCAAGGTTCAACTCCTTACATCATGACATATGTAAATTGGATTAGATTTTGCTTTTAAGATGTTTAATTTGATTAAATGATTGATTAATTGATTGTAAGTTGATTTATATCCCATTCGAGAATTTTTTATTCATGAAACGTCGCGATGTACGGGTAAAAGGCTTCAAATAACCATGCTCGGCACTAAGGGTAAGTGAGCAATGTTTGGTCTTCATCTTACCAACACTTTCTGTGACACGGGGCATCGGTATTCAAAGTCCCATTTGAAGGAGCCACCAATGTTTTCAATGCATTAAAAAACAGCAATTGATATTGTACATTTGTAAGTATATTTAAAATTCATGCAGGGGTATTTAAAAAAAATTATGAAAAGGTGGAGTAATGTATTAGTATTTTAAAACCATCAATCAATTCAATTAAGATTGAAAATGATATTTCACTTTCTTTAGATATTTCTAAAAAACTGTTTGGTGCATGATTGTTCACTTTTTATTTTAATTGCCTTTTAGATAAAGAATAAACATTTATACATATATTTTTAAAACTAAGCGTGTCGATCAAATGGCGCAGTTGTTGGAGGGTATGCTCTAAAGTCGTAAAGTAAGAAGTCGATTCTTATTTTGTTTACTTGCTAAAAATATTCATAGAACATGTAACTGGGTACATGTAACTATAAATACATTAGGCCATACCCATTCTTTATCGACTCTCGCGCTATAACCTCGATACACGTATATTCACGCTTCAGAATGAAATTTCAGGAAAAGGATTTATTGTCTGTTTAAATACCGATTTATGCATGTTTAGTTTACTGCAGTACATGTGTAAATAAATATCATAATCTTGTATGTTAATTGATTTAAGGTTATAGCGAGTAGCACTCTTAAATTGGTCTTTCTCGTTATCACTTTAGAATAAAATAAATCTATATTCGGACGTACGAAGTGAGAGAGAATATACGAAAGCCCAGAAGGCTCATTCGAGATTCGAGATTCGAAATACGAGATTCGAAATTCGAGATTCGAAATTCGAGTTTCGAGATTCAAGATCCAAAATAACCAATCAAAAGGCGGTTTGAGATTCAATTACTCCCCTTTATTATTTTTTACTATCAAGAAATCGTTGAGTATTTTAATACCGAGGAGGTCATTTGATTAAATTGCGACGCAAGAAAAAGTGTCGTATATTATCAAAACGAAATTTAAAGAAATATTAGATTTTGGTCACCAAGATATGCTTAATTAATTTATAATAGCTTCTTAAATGTCATAAGAGATTTATATAAGGAAAATATATATTTCGTGTTATCTACTTTGGATACAGGGTTGTTGACATAATAGTAAACTTAAAATAGATTAACAGTACATACATCCCCCCTTTTTTCCAAGCATAATTTTTTTTACTTTTGAAAATGTTCATCGAAAGGTCAGTTGCCAAGCCCCCCGCGCCCCCCCCCTCTACGTTTTGGTACAGTGGTGCAGTATAGTCAAAAAGTTTAAGTAATAGTGTATTAAAAGAAATTAGGAACTAAATGAAGTTCGACTCCCCCCCGCCCCCTTTCACGCCCCGAAATAAGATTTTCGGGTTTGGACAAATTTTTTCTGTCAGTTTTTATTTTCTGGCTTGAAATAATATTTTTGTCTGCCCTACCCCCGCCCTCCCCCACCCCAATTTCAAAATCGATGCTTCGTCTCCATAATAATTAGTACTGCTGGTTTCAAGGTGGATAGTGTTTGTGTTGGTATTAGAAAGTGGCCAGTGACCAAGTTTATGAAACCAATAGACAGCCCCTTAAATACGGTTGGCTGGGAATAATAAATAAAAAAAAATCATTGTTAATCCCCCTATCCCCACCCAAACCTCGAAAAATAGGGGTTATCATGGTAATTGGAAGTTATTTTTGAATGGACATAAGTATAAAGTTACTGTTTTCTATAGTATATATTATATCGGAAAAATATTACGGGAATGGCCAAGTGGGAAGGGGGGAGGGGGGGGGGGGGCAAATGTGTGGTTATCAACATTCATTGTCAACCTTGCGATGCATAGATACAATAAATATAAATTCGATAATTATTTAAAAGGAAACCGCTCGGGTCTCGCCCGACCTGGTCAAAGACTCAAATATACTAGTAAAACCATAATGCTCATGTCATTGGGGGGGGGGGGGCGGCACAGCCATACATTTTCAGTTTTCAACTACCAAAAATTTCTTGACAACCAAAAACAAAGCAAAAAAAGTCATCAGATGTTTTTATTGAGGGGGCACAAGCATAGTAGTTATGATTTCTATAGTATTTTATATATCGGCAAAATTATAAAATTATTGGGGGGGGGGGGGCACAATGTAAAGAAATGTACCCTCATTAGTGTTTCATATAAATAATAATTTTCTCCCTCATCAATGTTCTTATTAAAAAAAATGTGGACTTACGAATTCCGCAATTCAACGATAAGACCATATAATATTCTATATACGTATCTATTGTTTTGTTTAATGAGGAAAAATAAGAATTTATATATATTTTCTAAAATGTAACCTAAAATTCCTTTTTATTTTGTTTTAATACATGTATCTTTTCTTTCTTGCATTATCATTTAAGCAAATGACCCATTTGATATGAATATATTCAACGATTTCTTGATAGTAAAACATATTAAAGGGGAGTAATCAAAATTGAACCTGTCTTTTGATTGGTTAATTTGGATCTTGAATCTCGAAACTCGAATTTCGAATCTCGAATTTCGAATCTCGTATTTCGAATCTCGAATGAGCCTTCTGGGCTTTCGTAAGAATATAAACCGAGGTGAAAAATGTTATAGCGGTGTTTTATTTCTTCAAGAAATCTCACTAATTTTTTCAGGTCATTTTATTAACCATGCAATGGAATATCAAAACCGTCGGCCATTTTCGTTATATATCTTTAAATAATGGAAACATGCCGATTTGATTAAATCTGCAAGTTTCCATCAATGTAGAAAAATAAAAAAAATATAGTGATTGCTCATGATGATTAATTTACATATTATTGAAGTCAAAACTTACAAAAATTAAATGATATACAATGTTACTGTAATTGCACTTTTATATTACGAGACAGCTGTAGAATATCCGGTTTTTCTGTCAGTATTTTATCCATCAAGGTCGTTGAAATATATGCTTACTAAATGAATATATATCAGAACAGCGTTATTGTGTTATTTTAATTCAACTTATTGGTTCTAATATGATATTTAAGAAAAAGCCTTTTGCGATATTCTATCTGGTTATTCTTTTGGTCAACAACTCTCGTTTTCTTTTAGTAGAAGGTAAGTTTAATCTTATCCCACTTGCAAAGGAATTTTTTGATAAACCTTTTATTTCGTAAAGTATTTTCATTATTCATTATCAAATATTTTCTGAAAAGTTTATCATCTTAAAAAGAAAAAAAATATTCAAAGAATAAATGGATCTTTATTTTGATATTTCACTTGAAAGAGACGTTAATGATAATCTAACAACCAAGCTATATGATAAATGTGATGACTCTAACTTTTCTATCGTCATCTTCCCTTTCTTATGCAGCAATATACATTCATAACCTGCATACGGAGTTTTCATATCTCAGTTGATTCGATACGCAAGAGTATTCTCAACGTACATTGTATGAACAATTTCGAAAACGAGGTAAATTATTGAAAAGCAAGTTGATTGAACAAGAATATTAATTAGCAGTGTCGTTTAAAGTCATCAATTCGTAAGTTCTGTGGTCGATACACTGACATTGTCAGCAAATATAATTTATCAATGAATTAAATGCTGACTGGCGTTTTTCAAGTCTTATTGTTCGTCCATTATTTATACACTGAATTGACAACGGATTTTCCGTTATTTCCTGATCATGACAAGGAGCACACGGCGGGTGTGACGGGTCAGCAGGGGATGCTCACTCCTCCATGGCACCTGATCCCAACTCTGATGTTTCGGATGTCCGTGTTTGCTCTGCTCCTTTGTTGTATTGTTTTATGGACTTTGAGATTGAATATTGTTCGTTATCTCCATATCCTTCATGAAACATATGGCGATAAAGAATACGAATGCATCTATTTTAATCAAACTCTTGTTACACACATAGTTATTTAAACCTCGTTTTTCAAGTTTTCCAAATGTCCTACTGAATTCTAAAAGAATAATTTCACAATCTCACTTTAAATATTTATTTCCAACTGCGCCAACGCTTTACCACTAAAAACAAATATAATATAAAAAGTTATTTTAACTTTGTATAAAAGAGTAACTATAAAACTATTTTTAACCTCTCCAGCGGTTTTTAGGAAGATTTGTTAAAATTACAGCCAAATCCCTACTAATTTTTAATTATTTCCCTTTGGAAATATTAAAATTTCATGTAGTACATGGTTCATTATATAAAATAATATGTTTCAAAACTAAAAATACAGTGCTTAGAATCAAATTTGATTAAAAGCTCCTAAATAGTTACATTTGTACGACTACGAAGAAAGTATAGACATAACAGAAGACATAAGCAGAATGATGAAAGGGAGATGAACATACATGTACCAATATAAATATTGACACCGAACAGATTTTGAACAGATAAGTATAATGTATTTGTTTGCTCTGGAGAACTTTAAATTAACATGTTATTGTCGAGAGTAAGTCCCTCTGACTCCAATGCACTGTATTTCTTTTATGGAAGTTACTCAGTTGCAATTACATGTAATTCTCGCAAATGTTTTCCACTTTTGGTATATTCATACCGTTATCCCACTAAGACAAAATGTAACACGGCTATTTGAAAGAAACAAATTGAACTTAAAATAAACTTGAAAGGAAAAAAAAACAACAGAAAAATTGATCAACGTAAGGACTATTTTGTGGAGGGAGTAGTTAAGAATCAAATTTCTTTCAATTCATTTTTATCAAACCTTATCAAACCATACTACATACACTTCTTCGACTACACAGCGAACTGTGACTGTTGAAAGTACAAAGTGTGTTTGTGTGTGGAGGGGGTGGGGGGTTGAACCTACGCACCAATGCCCATACATGTACTATACCTTTGCAAAGAAGGGGACCCCCTGACCTAGGTTTCGACGCCTATAAAATATACAGTTTCATTTTTAAACTTTTTAAAGTAGGTATCTTCGATTTTAACGTTCACAAATTTGCAACAGTTATGCCTGTATGCGATTTACTATTTTAGATCACGTAGCTTGCTCCATAGCGTTGTATCAAATAGTAAACTTTTTTTCGACTCATATTTCTTACCATGCGAGTTATTTTGTGTAACAAAAACAGTCCATGTTTTAGAAATGCCAAAAATCTCGACATTAGGAATCTTAATTCGAATCCTATGCCCCGAGAGCGTCGTTTATTCAATGAAGATAAAGCATGGATGCCTCTTATTTTACCATATCTAAAATAATTCCTAGAATTACATTTTAGAGATTTTATAATTAAATTATTGATTAGATATTCATTTATAGTACGTTGGCAATCTTTCATATCCAATTACTTTACAACGGAAACATCTATTCCGCAGTTTGCTTTCACTAGGCAACAGAAAAAAACAATATTTTAAGGCATCTCCCTTCTTTGACTTAAACAATCAATTAATGACAAAACTTACTTCTTGAGCACCCCTCGCAATATAACAGAAAATTTTTCAATGCAACGAAAGCGGATATATGTCATAAACGATCGATAAATCGCAGGGTCTTCCCGTTTCATGAATAAGATTTTAGTAAAAAGAATGCTCCGAGAAAGCAAGGTATCTCAGCTCATGGCAATTAATTAAATTATTCTCTGTTTAAGTATCAACTGAACCAATCCACAAAGTTTACGCATATCTCTATTATTGAACTTTGCTGGGTGTATTTTAGAGTGCCATAATGAGACAAATCATGAGTTGCTTTCACGATATCTGTATTATGCATTTAAAGCGAAAAATATATTTGAATACTATGAGTATAGCAAAGATATGACAACTAAACTACACCTTAAAGCAAGAAAAGACTGCACAATATAAGTGCCTTAAAAATAAAGGTGGAATCTTTCGTTTCGTTGTATTCGCCCATGTCAAGTTCACGCACATTCATTTTTTGCCCATACTTGTAAACAACATTGTTAAAACAGCGTGGAAAGGCAAGAAATACGTTCTTACAACTTTTTAAATAGATTCTATCAAAATTCTTGGTCTACTTACATTCATTCTTAGGTACTTCAGATCATGGTAACCATGGTAAATTATTCAACATTTCTGCGCAGGCGCACAATAGAGAGGAAGAAGTAAAGCAATAGTTTCGTGTTATGGCGTAGTGAAATTATTTTTAATTTTATTTTTTTATCCAAATAAAATAGTTTTTAGGTTCTGAAACCTGTAATTTTCTGAATCCTTTTACTTCCAGGAATTGAACAAAAGTTACAAAGATCATGCAAAAATTCTACGTTTGTCAATTTCCCCCTTTTTGCGTCACGGTGTCTCTTCAAATGGTACTTTATGCCAACAAAATACTGTCTATAAAGAATGAAAATGGCTTGTATGCACATATTTACTTTATTCTTATACTTTTTTTACATAAGGAGACGATTCGCAGTGCTGGTCCCTGAATGGTAGATGTCAATATAGCGGTACATCAGAAAAATGTTTCCTATTTAAACCAGGATTATGTGCTGGGCCTGCTAATAGACAATGTTGTGTTTTGGGTAAGCCATCAAACATTATACAATTATAATTTTTTTGAGTGTAGAAAACATTGTAATAAACCCCAAAAGCATAGTTTTAAAATTTTTATCAAATGTGAATTTGACAATCGGAGTCACATCACTTTGCTTTAAAATGCATTTATTTCACCATAGAAAGGATCAATTATAACTGATATAAGCTCAATATCAATCATTATATTAAACAACAAATAATTTAATGATATATACAGAATGAACTGCCTCCCCGAAAAAGATTTAGAAGTTGAACAACAAGACCACCCATTAAAAAAATATCGCAACTGTTTTAGTGTTTTTGCAATTCTTTGCTCTTCTTAGACCTTGGCTATTTTTTACAAGGGCCTCTTGTTGTAAATCTGTTCGCGTTAAAGCAATGGATTCAGGTTTCACTATCGGTTTGAAGTTCAAACACACCTAGATAGCAACAGTTTTTGATTTTTTTAAAATAATTGTTTAGATATTCTTAGACGCAGTCGTTTTCACTCATTTTTCAAAACATAGGGTGAACTTTGAGTACTAAGCTATTTTACTGTTAAATGTTTCTTTTAAAAAAACATTGTAAACTACCCGAAAATATTGCCTATCAATTTTGCTATGTGTATCAAAGACAATCATCATTGATGATATTTGTTGACTTTCGGCAAACAGTACATTGGTTGTTGTAAGTCTATGTCGCTCGCCAAGGACGGTACCCATTTTTGATACCAGTTATATCAATCTTGTTTATTGGGATCCACCTGCTCATATGTTTATAAAACAAACATTTGTTGCTGTAAAGTTCAGATAATTCAGCAAATATTTCTTTGGGATACCTAACAGCAGCTTTCATGAAGGTTTAATTTACTCTATTTAATGCTGTTTCTTTACCATTCATTTATTATGTAGTGTCTCGAATAGCCCTTGTTTTCAAGTTTCTCACAATGAAACAATATGGTGAAAAGTGGTCACATAAATTGTAATCAATTCATTGAAGATTCAATCATAAGTAAAAGTCAAGCCTAATGACATATGATTTCCATATTGCATATATGATAGAGGGGACATTATTAATTGAACAGACCTCATATGAGTGCCATATTAAAATTATGTTTTCTAAACACGTGATAATTGTATCAATTATAATTAAAATACATTTAAATGTTATTTGTTAAGAGGAGCTGATCTTCAATGCTCGATGAGACGTGGAACCTGCCAAAATAATTCGAACTATAATTGCTTTGGGAATTATTTGCCAGGCCTATGTGGCGGAGAACCATGGCGACAATGTTGTGTACCTTATACCTTCATAAAATAAAATCCAAATAATTTTTTCGTTGTATACATTGGAGATTGATTGATTGCAATTGATTCCATATTAATTAACGTCCCTCTGGGGGAATTTTATACAGAGACGCCACCATTTACCGGTGGAGAGCTGCAAATTTTGTCCTATACTCGGAACTTAGGGCCATTGAGCAGGTAGAAAGATCTTTTTCGTACAGCACCTACTGCGACACGGGACCTCCGTTTATACGTCTTCACGTCCCTAAGAGGATTCAATACCTCGACGTAAGGAATATCTCCTTACTTTGCGACTCTAAAGCAGACGCTATAACCACTGTGACACGCGGGCGACTAAGCATGGACAAAAAATAGAGTTGCAGCTCATATTGCTTTAATTATCTCGTATATACCAGTACATCAAATAATCCAGGACATCCTTTTCATCTGATCATCTTTGATAATATCTAGCTGTTTTCCAAGGTTGAAATGAGTTGATAAATTTAAATTATAGAAGGCCATATTTTTATTCAAAAGGGTAGCAGCTGATACATGAGATATACATACATACATGTACGCACACACACCCACCCACCCACACACCCTCACCCACACACACCCTCACACACACACACATAGCTTTAAAACTCAAAATAACTTTCAGTAGGCATTCAGATATTCCTTATACAAATGCAGCACCCCTTGTCCCGACTAAAACTCAGTCTACAAGACGTGTTCTTTGTTTCAAATTTTCTACCATAGCCTTTTTATATGCAAACATATTTTGTCTTTGTGGTTTTCATCATATTTCGTTAAGCCTGACTCGACCACGAGAACAGTAAAATCTGTTTCCTCTAAATCTATCTGATAGGTATTTTTTTCTGTATTCATATTTTTAAACATTGTATGTTGTCGTCTGTCTTATAACACACCTGGCCGTGCCGACAAATTGAATACCCTGCTTTTGCACGGCCAGATGTTTTATAGGGCCGATGACATTAAAAAATAAGAATTGAATACCTAATATACATTCTCTAATATTTCTTCCTTATTGTTTATTTCGTCATTTTTTATTATGAATTTAGCGCCTTTCAGAATTGTTGTGCTTTATATACGTACATGTAAGAGCCGTTTGTGACGTTGGAAAGGTAAATAACCCAAATGAACATTGAAAGGGGAAGAAAACTGACAAATATATTTTAAACGCACTGTTGTAAATTTATATTAATTTAACAGGGAAGTTGTATGATTAAATTAGGTCAAATTGATATACAATTTTGTTTTCTCAAGCATGTAATATAGTTCGGTGACAAGGTTTTGTCTGTTGAAGACATTTGAAAGCCGTGGATTTATAATGAATTTCAAACAAAAAATAACACTGGATGTAAATACAGGTATTATTATTTTAAAGTAAAATAAATTATTTCTAAAAAAGTCAACTAGATTTTGAAAAGAGGACTTTAATGCACAAGTGAATTGATTTCATATGTCTTATTCAAAACAACAAAATGTACCCCTTTCATATGGATGATTAAATTAAGCATCCTTTTAAACGTTTTATATCAATTTAGAAATGCCTGTAGATATTTAACAAAACACAAATTTTAAAGATATTGAAGAAAAAAAATTAATGAATTATTTAAATGTACCAGAAAAGTTTAATACGGTACAAACTTTAAAATGAATTAATTGAAGAAACACAATGCAGTTTATAACTGACAATCGAAAGACCATTTTTCTCAATATCACAGGTATTTACATTTTTTGGTTGTTTTTCTTAAGTACTACGTGCAATATTTCTGAGAACAACCGGAAATGTATGTACTGCCCCAGTGCAATCTAATTACCGGATCAAAACTCATGAGATAGGTACACGAACTTAATGTTTGTCATAAATTATCTTGCCGAAAAATAATTAAATGTACTTTTCAACTCCCATCCTACTCTATCAATGAAACAAAACAACTCAAATAATCTGTCTTATCAAGAAAGTGAATCTTTAATAATTAGCGTCTAAATACTATAAATAAGTGGCAATAACTAACATCTACAATTGAGGACATTAAGAGATTCAACATGAAGCTTCAATCTGCTTTCCTACTAATTCTTGGGCTCCATCTTCATGCATGCAGTGGCGAAAGAAGAAATGGGACATTACAAAGAAAAGGTAAAATCTAAAGTTGCTTCAGAATTCACTTGGTTCATCATGCTCTGTCTTCGTGAATAATACTTCGTTTTCTGTATTGGTATGACCTAACAAAAGAAAATGCTTAATCTAAGACTATCATTTATAATTCTATTTTTCTCCTGTGCATGTAATCACAAAGAGTCACTCCTTGTTTACAGCTATCAATGTCACAATCAATTTTTTATCACTTCATCACAAATTTTATTCTCTCTCTCTCTTTCTCTTCGGTCTCCTTTGGTCTTAACTTCACACGTCTGGCACTCTAATATGAATATTTTGTTACATTGTACCAGATTCAAATGTTTTTACCGATTATTGATCGTGTGTTTTAAAATGTGCCAATCCTATAGATCTTTTATTATAACAAACATTCAATTTATAAAATCATTCATATTTTGTTTCAGATTCAAATCAACGACGATTTCTCAAATCTTCTTTCAATAATTTTTGGAATAGTTGGGAAGGACTTGAGCTTCCGGAGTTTTGGAGTCCAAATTTGATAGAAAATTGGGTAATTATTTGCATTTTGTGAGAGAATTATTTTTGTTTCAGAAGTGTATTGGTCCAAATAATTGAGTGTTCAAACTTGTATATCGTCTTATTGACACATACATTTTTGAAAATATTTAATAAAAAATGTAAATTTTTAATGATTTAAAAGAAATTGATTTTCAAAAATTGTCCAATTATAATTTTACATCTTTTTATTAAATATTTTCAGAGAATTTGTAATTAATTTTTAATTCTGAATAGTAGAATGACTTTTAAGTTTCTCATCTAACATTGTTTTTAATATTTATTAACTCTTGAAAAACTCTAATTGAAAGTATTTCAATTTCTTTTACAGAATGGTTTTGACCAAGATTCACCAATAGCTGAGCTATTACAGACAATGATAGTTTACGATGACCTCGGCCGACCACACTCAGTAAGTACATGTATATATAAAAATACAGTGCATCAAAAGTTTACCATTCCTTCGCAACAAAGTTAAAGGGTGTATAGTAACACAATTATGTGCTGGTGGGACGGAGATAGTTTTTCCTCGTGTGGTTAATAGAATAGATTTAAAAGTGATTTGCCTCAAGAAATTTATGTTGAATAGTGGATTGATTTATAGATATGCTCTTGCTAAATACGAATCATCAGGATATGTAAATTCGAAAAATGTTGTATGGTCTTTTTCAATATCTTAAACGATGAAATAATACCATGTTCATATAATGTATATTATACCTCTTGCTTCAGCCAAAGGGAGTGGATCCACGTTTAAAGGCCGCGGCCCGAGCTGCAAAGTACGATCGGCACCATTATCCTGAGAATGTGAGTTTCAGGAGTTCCTTAAAAAATTTAAGAAATGACATTTTCCTAACTATAAACATGAAAGATGATATTAAAAAAATCACTTTGATTCATTAGAAAAATAATTTTTTTTCTTATTTTGATAGGCCAAAAGATCCATCAGAATCAATGGAACGAGGGTAATTTTTCTTAGTTCTTAATTTGCTGTACTTCTTCATACTCGCGAAAATAATAGTGATCCTATGATTTAAGCAGATAACGTATCCAATAAAAATTCTACAAAATACGTGACATTTAAATATTAAAGATGTTAATATCACTCTTCTTAGCATACAAGTACTAGTAGTCTTTTCCTCAATTTTTTAGACGTCTACCTTGTTCTTTCGATATCATTCCTTCCCGTTTCAGACAAAAAGAAACTTTATGACGAATGCTAATTTGTGGGAAAACAACATCATTCCATACGAAATCCAGCCAGGATGTAAGTGTCAATAACTTTGTTATCTCCCCTCAATGGAGTTTGAGGGGATTTAGCAACGCGTTTGTGAATGAGTGTGCGTTTGTGAGTGTAATAGTCTGTTCTGTAACAAAATTAGCACTATCGGGTCCCATGTGAAATGCTAGCTGCCTTCATTTATAAATATAGAGTATCTTATTTATAGCGAAGCGATGTTCCGCTTTGTGTTATCCTTGTAAGACTGTATAATTAGCGTTTCAACATAAAATAATTCTCATTGCAGTCTTCTGCGTACTTAAATATGTACAATTCTATTTAATGAGTGTATAATTATAATTTTACATGTGTGTTTTGTTTGTAGTTAGTCCAAGGATGCAAAATGCAATCCAATCAGCAATTCAGGCATTTTCAGATATGACATGTATTAGATGGATACCACGGAATCAGGCGCCATCTCTACCGCACGATCAATATGTCCGCTTCCAGCTCGACAGGTGAAAAATCTATTTTGCTTGATTTTTTTTTTATCTAAAACCGATATATTTGTTGAAAGATATTTTGTTTTCAAAATGTTTCAAATAAACTGTTATGTGAAATTCATTTCTGTTCGGCATTAGCTTTAATAATTAATCATATAACTTGGGCAATTATTACTCAACAAAATTACATTTCTTTGTTTTTAGCACTGGAATTTGTGCGGCATTTATTGGTCGAACCCTAATTTTTAGCAATGGACAACCACAACCAATTAAACTTGCTGACCCGACTTGTGCAACTGTAAATACATTTTTTTCTATATGTATCGCAGGACACTCATTTTTGTGCAAAATCATATGAAAGGCAGCATTGTATAATATAAAAAAAAATCTAAGCAGAAGATTTCATGCCCACTGCTCCAAGTTGCACATTGAGAAAGAAGTAAGGTTTAAAGGAAATATAGCTTGTACGTTTCCAATATTTCATTCAACATTTTATATCTTTCTTCAATTAGGTTGCAATTGTAATCCACGAAATGATGCATACCATCGGACAAACCCATGAGCAGCAGAGAACAGATCGAGATAGATATATTGAAGTGTATCGAGACAAAATACAATCGAATTCTTACTTTGCGAACTTTGCACAGAAAAGTTCGTACGATCGGACACCTTACGACGCCGAGTCAATCCTACAGTACAGCCTTACTGTAAGAAAACATTAAGAGTGCATTGATTTACTTATTTTTTAAAGGATAAGATAAGAAACATGTAAGTCCCCTTATTAGCCCCTGATTTGTGGTGTTTCCAGCTGAGATACGATACTTCATCATTGCTATCTGTTGTAAAATAATTATTGAAATTTGGGGTATACGATGGTCACAGCAAGGTTACAAATTATGTCAGTTTCCAAATTTTCAAAATTTTTCATTTTAAATGCAAATTTTTCTCAATTGTAAAGCATATTTTTTTCAGACTGCACAGAGCACAAGCTTGCCTATAGATCAATTTATGCATTTCATGCACTATAGTCCATGCTTCATGTGTTTAAAAATCTCAGATAAGCAAGCTCGTGCTCTATGTTTCCAAAAGTGAAAAGTACCTAACAATTTAGAATAGTCCTTTCAAATTAAAGAAATTAGGTAAAATATTAATCTCTGGCGCCGTTTGAGGCCTTCTTGTAGTCTTCAAAACAAAATTATTGATGGTCTTAAAACAAGCAAAAATGAAAATCCCCACCTGCAAATTATAAAAATTTATCTGTGTTTTGATTTTTGCATCAAATAAGGGGTAAGATTCGGCTATTAACATACCCTGTCCTTTCTTTGTTACCCGTCAGATGATAGATCATAAGTAAAGGATGACGAAGGTATATAGCATAATTAAGGCAGTATTTGTTTTGCAATTTTGTAAATAAGCATGACCGAATCCTTGGTAATACCCATCATTTGAAGATAGAGTTCTGGATTTTCATATTTGTTTTCATTTCTAGTTTTCAAAATTATTATCAACATTCTTGTTTTTGCACATTTTTCTTTTAAAAACTAAATAATGAAATTTGAAAAAAAAAATGATAATTTTAAAATTCTTCTTTCCTCTTGATTAAAATTGGAATAAAAATGATTAGATTGAATGCTGATAAATAAAATTAATTAATAAGATTTTATCATGCATCATATGAAGATAACGAGCAGTATACTCAAGATCAAAAGGCTATAAATCAATCCAAAATAGCAGCAGAACAAACAAGGGCCTTATTACTTCAGACAGGTATCAATGCTTATGGCATTACAATTTTAATTTGTATTAAAGGAGCATTTAAAAAAATATATATGTCACAAAGATTTCAGTTGCAAGGAATAAATTTAATTGTTTCCAAGTTTTTAGTATAACCTGAATTGAATCAAATTAGCTTGGTTTTATTAATCGATTGTTTATGTCCCATTCGAAAACCCTTCCTCTTTACAGAGACGAGTTTACGCTTTGACAACAAAAAGCCTAAAACCAGAAATCAAAACTTAACAGAACAAGTTGATTCAAACAATGATTTTCAAGAATAAGTCTTTTTATTATCATGAATTCTGACAGTCAGCAGCAGTCAATCAAGGAGAAAGAACCATGAGACTCAAAGACGAAAGACTCGAGGCACTAGTAGGCTCTTCTCAGACATTTACACATAGTGACGTCAAGGAAATCAATCTTGCGTATAAATGTGCAGGTAAACCTTTTCAATCTATATCTTTATAGAGAGATTTTATATGAACACTGTAACATTTGTACTCAAACAACTAAAGTTAAAGCTTCCATAAGAAATTATTTTTTTTTTAAATAATGCAACGTAAACATTTTAAAATGTGGTATTGAGTATGGAATTATAATTTTCTTGTGTAAGATCACTGCCAAAACCCACCTAACTGTAGAAATGGAGGATTCGTTGGTTCACAGTGTGATTGTGTATGTCCGAATGGTTTAACTGGAGCGACATGCGAACAAGTTATATCAGATTCCGGTTTGTATAAAAAAAAGAATCGTAATTTTTTTAAATTCAGACGAATATGGTTCGAATTTTCCTTAGCAAAACACGTACATTGCCATTCTTTCTACAATATTGAAGGGTTCTGATCGCATCTGCAACACTTTCCATGCCACTGAATAAAATTTATCGAAACACATATAATGATATGGGATATGAGAAGTATCATTAAGTGATCATGGTGCTCGAGGTACCTCTAATTGTTTTTTAGATTACAATTTAGTTTAAGTTGTAACACAGTATTTGATTGGATAAAAAACTTATCAAAATTATACTACCTGGGTTGCCTAAGTCACAATGACAAGTTAACATCAAAACCTATGAATACACTTGATATTAAGTTCAAAATATGAACAATTTAAAGACGTTTTAAGGGAGAAAGTGTCTTGTTTTCTATACTTTAATTATGAAGGGTGCATTAAGTAGCAATTCAAGTTATATTACTAAAACCTTGGTTATAGTAGTTTGAACTTTTTTATAAACCTCTTCGCCCGGATAATTAAACTGCCAAAACCCAGGTTATACAGTATAAGTTGGGTTGCTAGTTAATTCATTCCTCAAATGTTCATTTAAATCATTATTATCGAAAAATTGGCATTGGTTGTTTTAATCAATGTTCTATTTTTTGTCGTCCAATGAACCAGGCTGTGGAGGTGTTTTTAATTTACAAACTGGACAGCAGGAAATAATAGAATCCCCAAACTACCCGAATGCCTACTCTACAGATACAGTTTGCCTGTGGCTTATAAGGGTGAGAAGTTTAATTTTTACTCTATATCCCAAGTGAGGAAAGAATGAGAACGCTTAATGTTTGCTACATGTACAGCCTTTTCATCAATATATCTTTATTTAGGGTCCGTCTGATTCCAATATTAGGTTGACGCTCCAAGAATTAGACCTAGCGAGAAATACACAACAGTCTAAATGCTTGCACTGGTTAGAAGTTCGATATAATATGCCTGGACAAACTGGCATCAGGTGACGTCACATACCTTTAAATCCATTTTAGATCTTACGTTTATTATTTCGTTGATCAAATATACTACATATTTTATATGTACAACAAAGTAAAGAATTTGAGCATTGATTTCAACAAATATCTTTTCAAATAGATGGATTTTTGGAAGTTTTAAATCGCCTTTTTTCAAATTTTTATAGTTCATTTGTTTGGTAAAAATACATTATTTACAGTATTTTTTCCGCATTTGTGCTTTATTATGAAAAGCAGTTGATTTGACCTTGAAACACTTGACAGGCTTTGCAACACACAACAACAACAGCAGCAGATTATAACAACCAATGACGGTGAAAGAAATATCTTGATTCTAAAATTTGACAGCAGACTTTCCAGAAATGTTCAACCAAACCAAAATCAAAGGTTCAAGCTTATTGTTGAAACCGTAGGAGGTAAAAAAAAACAATATATTTACAAATATGCAACGTTTCTATAAGAAAACGAAATGTTCTTTGTCTTTCGTGATAAAATATAAAGGTTTTGTAATATTTCTGTACAGGCTCAACAAGTAATCCATGTGATCCAAACCCCTGTCTCAATTCCGGAGTGTGTTCAGTTTTTGGCACATCCTTTCAGTGCAAATGCTCTCAAGGATGGAGTGGGACTGTTTGTAATATTGCTTCTGAGTCCTGTCAATCTAATCCATGTTTAAACGGTGGCGCATGTAGCATGGTGGGAAACAGTTTCTCTTGTACATGTCAAAAGGGATGGACTGGACCAAATTGTGAAAGTGAGTAGATGTTTGAGGAATAACTAACTATTCTGCAGTCACATTTCTAAATCTTAAAATGTAAATTTTATCATTTGTACAGCTCCAGAAAGTCAGGTAACAACAGTACCATTTACGACCACAACTTCACAGAATTCATTATCAAGATTATGTGATTTCGAAGATTCCACCTGTTGGATGCAAAGTGGAAATTTAATGATAGGAAAGGTAAATATTGTGGTATAAAAATGATGAATATTCTGAATTGATATTCGACTTTTACAATTGAATTCAGAAATTTTCCTTATAAAAAAGAACAAAATTTCAATGGATAGGATACATTAGTTTTAAAAATATATTTTATTTAGCATTGTCATCAAAACAACATATGTGTACAGTGGTATAGTGTTTGGTGCTTTATCTATTGTTTCAGATACCACAGCTGACAGAAGGCTATTCAGGAACCTCAAGCTATGCATATTCAAACAATGGGGAATATTTCTATCTTGCAACACCTAACGGGTTTTTGCAAGGTAATGAAAAATTAAAGTTTTTGTCATTAAGGACTGTTTTTGCTGAAAATAGAGGACAATAAGATATGATGACGGGAAAGAATGGTAAATGTAAAACTTTCATCATCTTACAGATAAAGTCTATTGTCTGACATTTGGATACTATATCTCCTCTGGATTCCTGGAGGTGTTCATTGCAACTACTGTAAACAACAAACAGAATCTATTTTATACCTCATCACCTACTCAGTATTGGTCAGGCAGGTGGCAAAATATTCAAGGCATAGCCGGATACACTCTGGTAAGCTTAAGAGAAATTGAAAATTTTAACCACATTATTTAACTATATAAACGTTTGATTCAAAGACTGTTATCTTATTTTTTCGTCGCCCGCCTGGCGCAATGGTTAGAGCATCTGGTTTACAGTCGCAAGTTAAGGAGATGATCCTTACGTCGCGGGTTCGAATCGCACTGTGGGTTGTGGAAAATGTGAAGTTCTTCACCAGCAACTGGTGATGTCTCTGCATGAGTGAAAAATTCTCGAAAGGGACATTAAACATCATCCAATTAATCAATCAATCTTATGTTTCTTTTTAAAAGTTGGACATGCACATATTTTACAGGTGTTACAGGGGAGAACATCTTATCCTGGTGCAGCCATTGCGATGGATGAGGTGAAACTTGAAGAAGGAGCTTGTTCTTTCTAACAACATGAAAGTTTAGCTGTGAACAATGCATTGTTTATCAAAATTATATATTTTCTGAAATCACGTGAAAATAAAAATAGATGTTATTTCATTTATATAGTACTATTATATTTTTGTTACTTTTAATTGGAATTCAATGTGATTCCAGTTTTCTGTGATAACAAAGTGCAAGTTGAAATGTAAAAAACTGGAGATAAGCTCGGAAATCTTACAAGGTGAAGAAGTTTAGGACTAGGAAAACTGAGACCACTTATAATCAACAGATAAAAAACCAATTATCAATAAATTTCCACATTTGAACATAAGACACAAGGGATATTCCATTGATAAGTAAAAAAGATAAGTATAAAAGATAGAATACATAATTACTAGGGCTTCACCGTGCATAATTATCTCCTATATCTGCTAGACCCTAGTCGAACTTAACGCATAAAGGAAGAAGACAAATAATTTGTTTTCACATTTCCATTTAATGGTTAATTGGTAGTTGCATTAAAATACATTGTATTATTTAAGACAATATTTAAATATATGTCTTCTCCATAGAGCCACTGCTCTAGAATTATGTTAACACTGTAAGTCAAACATAACATCGTACCATCGTACATCGTAAATAAATTGCTTAAAATTTCAAAATGTTCAAGGAACTCGAAAGTATTTTACTATTCTGAAGTTTCTTTTTTTATAATCGGTAATTCGATCAGGGAAACTGACAAAAAATTACGGCAAATTTACTTTCAAAAATGTTAAGTAGTTCGACTGTATCGAACAGCATATTTTCTGTTTTTCAGAAATCATTACACAAACAAACATATTGATAATTAATTTTTAATTAAACTATGAACATATCATAGAGGTATCATGAAAAAAGAAGAAATTATCTCACATAAGATTATATCAATATATCAATATATATATATATATATATATATATATATATATATATATATATATATATATATATATATATATATATATATATATATATATATATAAGATTCAAAACAATTTAAGATAAAGGATTCTGGATCATGAAAATCCCTTTGAGTTGAAAGATCCCCATTTTCCAAATTTCTTAACAATTATATATATTTTTAAGCGACGAAATAAAAGAATCGACCAATATTTTAATGTTATTGATCAATCCTACAATATCTCAATATTTTTTTCTAACTGATAAATGATATCGGCGATGCAGTTCAATACAAAAAGGTTAGAAATTTTAGATTCTAAATTCAATATATTTTTTTAAATAAATATATATAAAAATAAATATAAAAAGACACTACTTAATATATAACGTAGTTCATGTTTTTATCGCTATAAATTGAATTCATCAGAAGTTTTCGTATTCTGATGACTGCGCCATTTTACCAAAGTCTTGATATTTGCTGCTGTCATCTTCATCTGGTTTTCCAGAAATGGTATAGAGGTCCAATCCGCCTTCCTTAGTCTTACAATCACAATCTTCTCTGATCTTTTTGCTTTATATATTCACTTGATTTTTCCTCTATGATATATAAAATGCATCTTTTGTGACACGAGGTATATAGTTATTCATTTTTAAAACTTAAGTGTTTATTGTTAGGTATGGAACTTTTCTCTCGGCAACGATATATTAAAAAATTGATATAAATGGCATTTGAATTGTTCTTCTATTTACAACAGATGTATGCTTTAAATGATTAGAAGATTCACACAAAGTCTGAATCAATATTTACAGGTAATAACATTTTGTATAGACTCACGCAAACTTCTGAATCTTAACTTACATGTACTGGCATTAGATTTTTTATACATAGAAACGTTATAATCTTAATTTAAATTCATAGAAACACTTTCTTGAATGATATATATCATAGTTATTACAGACCAACCTTATGATAGAAAGGTAGACCAATATCCCCATGAATATTGCTATACAGAGGCAAAGGACGACAAGAACACCATTGAACTGTGACAGGTAATCCACGTCATCTGTTTTGTCGGCGACTGCGCATAAAAGACACTTTTCGTTAACAATTCTGCTAGATGTAGTATAAGGCATGAGTAATTTAAAACTCAAGGTGGAAGGATTTTTGCTGACCTTTATAAATAAATTAAAAGAATATTGACCTTGCAAACATTTTCGTCCTTGCCATCCACCAATACATCTTTCTACTACGTTGTTAGATATTTTGCTTTTCATATCCAGTATCCTCAAAAAACATTATAACAGTATGTCATTCTGGTCTCTCAGAATTAATCTTTTTGCACAATTATTCATGTTTGTCATTCTATTGCTATCTGGTGATATTGAAACAAACCCAGGTCCATCTGCACCAAACTCTCTTGATATCTTGCACCTTAATATCAGAAGCATCAGGAATAAGATTGATTCTCTACTGTATCTAGTTCAAGATTTTGATATACTATGTTTTAGTGAGACTCATTTAGACACACATGTTACAAATGAAAGTTTGTTTATAGAAGGTTTTAAGTGTATTTTCAGAAAAGATCGTAATTCTTATGGTGGTGGTGTAATGACTTATGTTTCAAATTTAATTAAGGCTAGTCGAAGAGAAGATTTAGAACCCGTGGATAGAAATACCACAAGTAAAGGGAAAACTACTTATATGTTGTATTTATCGTCCACCACACACTTATTGTGCCCTTTGGCAAAAATTACCTTGGTCATTTGAAAAGGCTTGTGATACATCTAACAATATTGTTGTACTTGGTGATCTTAACGTTGATTTTTTAAAAGTTTACAACTCACATGAGATTCATACAATTATGAATAGCTGTAGGTTAACAAATATCATACACGAACCTACAAGAATTACTTGCGATACAGAAACCCTTATAGATCCTATCATTATTAGTGATAATATACATGTACATGATTCTGGAACATTACAAATTAGTAATACAGTTAGTGATCATAAAGCAACTTATATATATATTCACCAGAATACAAATGTAAATGTGGCATATAAACGTAAAATTTGGAACTATAAACAAGCAGATTTAGAACTCCTTAATGATTCAATTGTAAAATGCGACTGGAATAGCCTTATTGATGATACAGAAAACATTAATATTGCAACAACAAACTTCACAGAAAAATTTAACTCTATTATTCATCAATGCATACCTGAAAAAACTGTAACTATAAGGCCAAATGATAAACCATGGATGGACTCTCTTCTAAAGAAATTTTTGCGTATTCGCAATAGACTAAGAAAAATAGCACAAAAACAAAAAGAGAATCTGATAAGGAAAACTTTCTCAAAGCAAGGAATAAGTTTAACAATATGAAAAAATATGCTATTAAAAACTATTATGACAATATAGATTCTCATCTTAAGGATGCTAGTCTGAACAATCAAAAACTATACTGGAAGTTACTGAAAGATACTTTTCACATTAAACCAACAAATGAAATTCCACCTATTCAGTTTACAGACAACAACGGCACTGAAAGTTTTGCATTTTCAGACATAGATAAAATAGAACTATTAAACAAATATTTCACATCATTTACAGAGTTAGATGTCAGTAATCAAGAGCTCCCAAATATAGTGTCAAGATATACGGATAATGTTCCACACATTGAAATACAAGAGCAAGAAATCATTGATATAATTTCTATTATTCCTGTCAATAAAGCCGTTGGTCCAGATTGCATCAGCCATAAAATGTTAAAATCTTGCAAAGAAACTATCTCAAAACCTTTGTGTATACTATTCAACAAATCTGCTGGAAACTAGCACATGTTCTTCCAATTTTTAAGAAAGATGACCCTTCCATCACTTCAAACTATAGACCAGTTTCTTTGCTGAGTTGTATAAGCAAAATTTTTGAAAGAATAATTTTTAAGCATGTTTACAATTTCTTGTATTCACATAATATATTTTATATATACTAGGCAGGTTTTTCACCAGGTCACTCCACAGTATATCAACTCTTAGAAACATACCATTCTATAGTAAAAAGTGTTGATGAAGGTAAATTCTGTTGTATGGTGTTTTGTGATTTATCAAAGGCATTTGATAGAGTCTGGCATAAAGGCTTAATTTACAAATTAAAAATGTATGGAATTAATGGTGATATGCTAGATTGGTTTGATGGTTATTTAAGCGAAAGAACCCAACAAGTCATGTATAGAAATCATTTTTCCTCTGTAGGACAAGTAAAAGCTGGAGTTCCTCAGGGCTCAGTACTTGGTCTCCTATTATTTTTATTGTATGTAAATGATGTGGCTGAAAATATGATATCTGTTTGTAGACTATTTGCTGATGATAATTCTTTACAACAATGTTCAGATAATATTAATCATATTGAACAAAATCTTAACAATGATCTTAGAATACTAGATGAATGGTCAAAGAAATGGTTATTGAAATTCAATCCACAGAAAACCAAAGCAGTATCTTTTTAATTTGAAAAATGTACAGCATTTTCCTAAATTATTTTTTGAAATTGCCAATTGGAATATGTTACAGAACACAAACATCTTGGGATACTTCTGTCGTCTAACTTAGGATGGTCTTATCATATTGATACCATTATAAAGAAAACATACAAAAAACTGGGGCTTCTTAAAAAATTAAAATTTACTGTGTCAAGAGATATTCTATCCCAGATGTATATATCTTTTATTAGACCACAAATTGAATATGCTGTTGAAGTTTGGTCTGGATGCACAAAAACAGACATTGAGAATCTTGAAAAAGTACAATTATATGCTGCAAGAATAGTTACTGGGCTTACAATTAGTGCTTCAAGAAATTCATTATATTTGGAAACAGGCTGGGAACCACTGGAATATAGAAGAAATAGGGCAAAACTAATAACAATGTATAAAATGCACAATAATTTAGTCCCTATTTACTTGCAAAACTTAGTACCTGATACAAGAGGCAATATTTCAGGATACACTACCCGGAATTCTTTAAATTATTCTTTGCCAAAATACAGATTAGAACTCTACAATAAATAATTTATTCCCGATACTGTTAGAAAGTGGAATTCCCTTAGTCTAAAAACAAGGTAGGCAACTTCTATCAAAATTTTCAAAAACTATTTGCAAAATAGTAATGTAAAATCTCAGAAATATTTTTCTTATGGAAAAAGGTTTTTGAACATAATTCATACAAGATTAAGACACAATTGTATTTTAAAGTCTGATTTATATCGCTGTAACCTAATAACCAGTACTAATTGCTCTTGTGAACTACTAGAAAATACATATCATGTTTTTTGTTTGTAAATATTATATAAATTCCTTAATGAATAAGCTATTGTCATTAAATTATTTACATATTATAGATGTACATTTAATGCTATGGGGCGATGATTCTCTAACTTTTGAACAAAATGCTGAACTTTTCAAGACTATTCAATCTTTCTTAAATGAATGTGGTCGTTTTTCAAATTAAGTTTACTTTTTATCTCTTACTATCTCAAATCTCAAATTATATTGGTACATTTAAAGAATTTATTTATTTGTTCCTTTCTATTGCTACGATATATACAATGTATGTAGTAGACCATATCATGACATGTACATATGTTTTACTTTAGCAATTTTACATAATGCTATATTAGAAGAGGACTATCTAAATTACTGAACTTGTGTCCGATCATTTTGACTTTGTCAATGAAATATGTTCAATTCATATCCTTCATTACAATGTCCTGTCACGTGGTGACAGTCACGTGATGACTTACAAAAGGGACTGCATTCCTCCGTGCAATCATCTCCATAAAAGCCCTTTTTGTACACTATTTCAATTAAATGAATACTTCAAACAAAATTAATTAGATTACCGGAATAAATTGATACGTTAATTTCATTTCCTGTTGAACAGACAGAAATGCTAATTACCAGTTTTATTTCTATGCTTTTAACGTCAATACGTTTGAGAGGGACGGGGGGGGGGTAGAAAAACATGTTACCCTCATTGCATAAGGCTCCTTGATATCCTTCCACACACGTCCCTGCGCATGAACCATCCACGTGGTGACAAGAAGAATCCTGACAAAACCCACAGGTATAGCTGCAGTTTGTACCGTATTTATTTTCTGTGCAAGCTATTTGATAGTATGAAGAGAGCAGTTAAAATAAAAGAAAAAAAAAGATTCCTTTAAAAAGCAATTAAACTTTAAGTAAAGTATACATCTAGCACATTTTTGACACTCATATAACCAGGAAACTAATTTACGGCAGATAAATAGAAAAGGCAAACATATTATTCTTGACAAAAAGGTTTGGTCCCCTAAATCTTTGTACCTGATTCACACTGAGGTCCCTCCCAGCCTGGTTGACATCCCCCCTCACATTCCCCTGTCCCTCTGTTACACTGAAAAGGTACACCACAGTGTTCATTGCAATTTTGTTCACAGTTGATTCCAAATGTGCCTCCAGGACAACCTGGCATGAGAGTTTATTCCAGTAAACACATTTTTACTTTTTTCTTTCTCACACTTTTCAATCCTAATATGATTATTGAAATGTTGAATATTTGAATATTTTCTTAGATAAATAACAATTTAAATTACTTGTTTTACAGAGTTTTCCTTTGAATCCCGCGGCACAGCCTTCCGGACAAGAACCATTGATGTAATGACATTTTTTATAATTAAGGCAGGCTCCACAACTCTGTCCACAATCCTGTCCATATTTACTTCCATCACACTCTATGAAATGCATCGAGTATACATGTACATGTAATTCAATTATATACGGATGCTTGGCATGTGGAAATTCCTCCTTATTAAAACCTACAAATAAGGTGAGTATAATCTAGTTCAAACATATATATAGAGTACCTTTAGTACATTGAAGTCCAATCCAGCCCGGTTGACATCCTTTCTCACATTCTCCGGTCGTTCCGTTGCATACATTAGATATCCCAAATTTTTACTACAGAATCTCTCACAGTTTGTTCCGAATCGTCCAAGTGAACACTCTGAAAAACATACACTATACAGAAATTATCTTGCACAATTTATTCTAATTGATAGCTTATTTAAAAAATGAAGATAAATGATATTTTATGTTTTTTTTCAGGAAGTGCACATTTATTTACGTGAATGATTATTGACATAATTACCTGTTCTACAAAGAGTTCCTTCATAACCAATATCACACCCTTCTGTACAGGACCCACTGCCATAGTTACATTGTTCATATCCTAGACAAGCGCCACAATTTTCTCCACAATCTTGTCCATATTTACCACCGCTGCATTCTATAAAACCCAATCAATATACTTGAGTGTGTGAATCTTAGCATATAAAGATAACGAGCAGTATTCAAGTCAAAAGTTCATATAAACAATACAAAATAGCAGCAGAGCAAATACGGACCTCTGAAACATCAGAGGTGGGATCAGGTGCCTGGAGGAGTGAGCATCTCCTGCTGACTGCTCACAACTGCGTGTGCTCCTTGTCATGATCGGGAAATAACGGGAAAATTCGTCGTCAATTCAGTGTATAAATAATGGACTGACAATAAGTATGAAAAACGTCAGTCAGCATTTGACTCAACGATAAATTGTATTTGCTGCTAAGGTCATTGTTTTGACCATAGACTTTACGAAATAATGACTTTAAACGAGACTGATGAAATTTGTGTTCAATCAACTTGTTTATCAAAAAAAAAAAACCTCGTTTTTGAAATTGTTCATGCGTAGAGTATGCTCTTGCGTAATCGAATCAACTCCATATGCAGGGGATGAAGGTATATTGTTGCATGAGTAAGGGAAGCTAACGATAGAAAAGTTAAAGCCATCACGTTTATCATATAGCTGTGGAAAATTTCTTTTATCTAACTAAAATAAACTTTACATGTACATGCAAAAAGAAGATGAGCCTATAGGTCTTGTTTGATCTTTTAAATGGCAATAAATGATGTAATCAAGTAGCTAATATAAAGAGAACATAAAATTGAAAGATTGATTGATTGATTGTATATTGTTTAACGTCCCTCTCGAGAATTTTTCATTCAAAAGACGTCACCGTATGCCGGTGAAGGGCTTCAAATTTTGATCACTCAGGGCCATTGAGCAGTGAGGGATCTTTATCGTGCCAACGCCTGCCGCTGACACGTGGCCTCGGTTTTTAAGGTCTCATCCGAAGGACCCGCAACTTTCACTTCAAATGCCGAGCGCATGGCGAAGGAACAGTTGCTACCAACTTTAACGACTAGATCAGTCGCGGCCGAGATACGAACTCACGACCTCCCGATCACGGAGCGAGCGCTCTACCGACTGAGCTACCGTGAACGGTAAATAAAATTGAAAGAAGAACAAGCTAAATATAGTTCTTGTTGTTAGGGAAAGGATGTACTATTTTTCAGAATTGTGGAGAAAATAACAAATGTAAATATTTTTCTTTTTACAAAACCTTGATTTGCATTATCGTTGTTGTTTTTTGAATAACCTTCTTGCAAAAACACACACAAAATTTTCTTTGTTAAATATTTTTTTTTCTATTTTGAGAAATTAAATAAAATCACTTGCTGAGAAGATACCACCTTTTTTTGACATAAACAATTCAATCATTTTAACATTGGGTGTTAAAATACCTCATCAAACCAAACATTTCTATTTTCTCTTACCATTATAACATTGATATCCCTGGTATCCTGGTTTACACCATGTACAAACACCTGTCTCTATTTCACAATAACGACAGTCTTTCGGACAGGGTTGAGAACAATTCGGTCCATAAAAGCCAGATTTACATCCTTAGAAAAAAAAAACAAACAAGATTGTGTTAAAATTACTGTAGAAAAAAAAATTCTTACATAATTTTTTGTGTACATTGCCAAGTTTCATATCAACCATTCTTTTATTTTCCATCAACATATTATAATTTCGTCCATTTTCTTAAATGTAATCAGTGTTGTCTGGAGACAGCTTACATGGTTGAGTCAACGTTCTCGATCACAGAGGTTTGCTTACCGAAGTGTTTTTCATGGAATTATTTATTGATATTTTCCAACAAATTTACAATTTAACGTGAGTAATACTTTATGAAGATAACTTCATAGTTTATGATGAGGATTAAATGAAAGATTTACAAGAAAAAGAAGACTTTTAGGGTTATTGTTTTTATACATTTAAAAACATCCTTATTGTTAAAAAAGGCTTATTTTAATGAAGATATTATTGCGTAGTGTAATAAGGTCGTATAATGACCTATGGTCTGTGAAAATAAAGGTATGACTATATTTGCTCTCTGCATACTTATATGACAGAGAGATATCACCAAACTGAATGTAAATATGGTTTGATATAAAAGAAAAACAAATTGAAGTTTTAATCAGATATGTGCAACAGACCGAAAACTTCCACCTCGCAGAGTTCACTATGGGCGTCAGTGGAATATCCAACCGAATAAGTGACATTAGAAAGTCTCTCATTATAGTAAATGACGTATTGTCCATGTACTGGGCATGTAATATTGACAACGGCAGGTATCATAGATTTATTATAATCTGCATCATGGAAACATAATTGACCATTTAGTCTATCTGTTGTGTTCGATACGTAGACATAAAACCCAAGAAATCTTTCTGTGTAGTCATTGGATGCATCTGGAATGCAAGCATTTAGGTTTGAATGGAATTCTCCATAGATTTTTTTTATTCATAATTATTTTTTACACATATTTTCATTTATTGAAAACTAAATAAGAGGAAAATATGCATGTGCATCATAGTGCAAAATCGTGATTTAAATTCATTTTTTCAAACTCTTAAAAAGTATTTACGTAAACAAATAATTTGTATTGCAACAAATTGCAAGAACATACTAGTAAGTACAAATAGATAAATAACAATTAAGTTTTTTGTCTATTTATTTTCAGCGCACATTTCCAATAGTTTCTTGCCGTGAGTCAACTATCATTTATTTTCCAAGTAGAAAATGGACTTACTCCATACAACATTATCTGTCCTGTAATAAATCCTTATGTAATGAATGCTGTGGATTGCTGTCAGGTTTACCCACCAGGTGGCGGTTCTATAATAGTCTTTTGACACAACACACTGCCGTCCCCACGCACTGAGGTCAGATTTAAGTCCATCAACCGCATTACTGGAGTCGAATAGATCACTAAAAAAAAGGTGTCTTTTTATTGATTAAGATAGACGAGCATGTTTTACGTCCGACCTTCGTGTTACTGACTGTAAGTTTGGTTAAAGAAGAGAAGTCAGTCTTTAAAAGAGTCACTAGATCAAAAATAAAAATGCTTGATAAAAATCTAGGCAAACATACATACAAAATCAATACATTACTTCCGATTTAAGTGGAAGCTGCATGCAAATTGACATTAACTTGGGTCGAAAATATTTGGTGTTATAAATAATCCTTTTAAATAAATTAAACGTCGCTTAGAATTCAGTCCAAAATCTATGAAAATAAGGAGTTATTTACTGCTTCCACATTTGCCACAACCATTCCCCACAATAGATTAAAGTTTCGGCTTTTTGATATCATTAGCAGCTGCTTATTCGATTGAAAAGGATCTAGAAAATTTACTTAAATTGTCATTGGTCATTTGCAAAATTATTTGTTCAATACATTCTGATTTTACATACAAGAACTCTGAAATGACGTCAAAATAATACTTGAGTTTCTGATTGACAATATTAATGTAGTTTTTGAAGATAAGGTTTTCCAACAATCTATTGGATTTCTCATTGGTACCAATTGCCTCCCGTTACTAGCAGACATATTTATGTAAGTATATATGAAATAGAAATTGTTCAAAATCTTATGTATGAAAAGCAGAAACTAATTTTTTACTATTACAATCACATGATTTGACAAAATTCAAAGAGAAAATAAATCATATGTTTCAAAATTCCCTGGGATTCTAATACCACGCAGCTGGCATTATCTGCTGCCGTGATAAACTAAACATAAATGTATTCACATTTATTAATTCACCATAAGGCACATTTGGTTTTTTTTTTTTTTTTTTTTTTTTTTTTGGTATTATCTGCTGCCGTGATAAACTATATATACATGTATCCACACTTTTAAGTCCACTATACGGCACACTATTTTTATTTTTTTTTTTGCTATGTTATTTTTCATGTAACTGGAGACATTATATTTAAAATATGTTCAAAATGAATAAATTAATAGATCATCAAATGAAAATGTAATGCCAGATTCAAACTATGTATGTGAGGAAAAAATATTCATGTCTTTGTAAAATTCATTCATTCTGATGTATTATTATAATCTAAAACTAATTTTATTATCACAAAACTCTACATATTGATCTTGTTTATAGACTGTAAAACACAAAAAGACCCGTATTTGAGGGTGACCTGGCCCTAAATACTAGTTACAGTGAGATTGATATAGACTTCTTTCTTTTTATTCCACACAATCTCCACTGCAACAAGGGTCATATTTCTATTGGTGTAAAATGCATACTCTGTTATTATATATAAAGATGGTGCTAATTTGATTTGAGGTATTTATTTATATGTATGAAAATGAAGCGTCAATAATCATATATTAGTATAATGGTGTTAAACGTATACTTTGTTATCATATATAAAAATGGTACTAATTTGCTTTGAGATATTTATGCTTATGTATGAAAATGAAGCGTCAATAATTATATATTAGCATAATGTGAAAAAATTCTGTTCAAATTTTGGAGATATATAATATAATACTATATCGATCCAGGAAGCTCCTGGCACCCCTGGTGAGGTATTATCAGAGGGCTTCTGCGGAAGTTTTACCTCACTGTTATATTGTATGTTATTGAATAAATAATTGAAAAAAAAGAAACTACTTGCTGTTGCCTTCAACTCGACATTGTCAATTCAAAATGTTAATACATGTATAAAGTTTTATGTCGATACGATACATCCGATGAATTTACTTTCCTATCGTCAGTTTCCCTTATATATTATACTCATACTTCCCTTTCTAAGGAAGAAATTCTTCAAAAACATATATATATATGTCAGTTTTAAATATTTTTAATATTCCACAGAGCCAAAATGAATTTGAACTGCCCTATATTTATTGGGTTCCGAAACTTCACAAAAATCCTGAAAAACAAAGATACATTGCGGGTTCCAGTAAATGTTCAACCAATCCTCTTTCGTTACACCTCACTAAGATATTGACAGTAGTGAAGGATAAACTTCAAGAGTACTGTACAACAGTTTATTCAAGAAATGGTGTGAATCAGATGTGGATACAATTTGAAATCACAAGAAATTGCCAAAATCAACAGCTTAAAAACCTACGGCTTTACAACTTTATACACAACCATTCCCCACGATAAATTAAAGTCCAGGCTTTTTGATATCATTGACAGCTGCTTCTTCAATAAATATGGAACTCGTTAATTAACTTAACTGGTCATTGATTATTTGCAAAATTATTTTGTTTAAACACATTCTGATTGCACACAAAAGTACTCTGAAGTTGACATCAAAGAGATGCTTGAATTTTTAGGTTGACAATATCTATATGGTTTTTGGAGACCAGGTACTCCAACAATCTCCTGGAATCCCATGGGTACCAATTGCGTTATGTTGTTAGCAAACCTATCTTTATATTCATATCAAGCAGAATCTGTGCGAAATCTTAGGCGTGAAAAGAAGAAAACATTTGTTGTGGCCTCAACTCGACATTTAGATATATCGATGACGTATTGTCAATTAACAATAGTCATTTCCATTCCCACGTCGATACGATATATCCTGGTGAGCTTGAGATAAAAGATACCACAGAGTCTGATACATCTGTTCCATACCTGGATATTTAACTTGAAATAGACCTTCACGGTAATCTAACAACCAAGCTCTATGATAAACGTGTTGACTCTAACTTTTCTATCGTCAACTTCCCTTACTTTTGCGCAATATACCTTCACCACCTGCATACGGTGTGTATATATCTCAGTTGATTCAATACGCAAGAGCATGCCTACGTATGAACAATTTCTAAAACGAGGTAAATTATTGACAAGCAAGTTGATAAAACAAGAATGTCAATAGTCTCATTTTAAGTTCATCATTTCGGAAATTCTACGGTCGATACAATGACCTTGTCAGCAAATACAATTCATCATTAAGACAAATGCTATTTGACGTTTTTCATACTTATTATTAGTCCAATATTTATACACTAAATAAATTGACGACGAATTTTTCCGCTATTTCCCGATCCTGACAAGGAGCACACGGCGGGTGTGACCGGTCAACAGGGAAGGCTCACTCCTCCATGGCACCTGAACCCACCTCTGATGTTTCGGAGGTCCGTGTTTGCTTTACTCCTATTTCGTATTGTTTTATAAACGCTGATATTGAATACTTTTCGTTATCTCCATATCATTTCCTTACCTATGCACCAAATATCACGACGTGCATCACTTTCATACGGAGTTTATGTATCTCATTTGATTCGATACGCAAGGGTATGCTCTACGTATGATCAATTTCTAAAACGAGGTAAATTATTGTCTACCAAGTTGATGAAATAAGAATTTCATCTGTCTCAATTAAAGCCATCAAATTGTACGTTCTATGGTCGGTGCAGTGGCCTTGTTGGCCAATACGATTTGTCATGGAGTCAAATGCTGACTGACCTAATTCATTCTGATTGTTAGACCATTGTTTATACACTGAGTTGACCACAAGTTTTTCTGTTGTTTGTGACAAGGAACACACTGTCTGTGTGAACTATTGGCAGGGGGTGCTCACTCCTTGATGGCATCTGACCCTTCTCTGATGTTTTGGAGGTCTGTGTTTGCTCTGCTACTATTTTATATTGTTTTATGGACTTTTGAGATTGAATACTGTTCGTTTTCTCAACATGTTTCATTACAAAGTTTTAACTGTGCTAGTACCTGAACTTGAATAGAACTTGAACTGTACGTTCAGGATTAACCTCTAACAAACTAATTGCCATACTCTATTCAATGCGAAGACTGATTATCAAAACGTGTATCCATTTTCAACCAAATATCTTGTCTTGCCTTTGTAATATCAAATTGTTTCATAATCGTTTCAAGATCAGTCGGTGCAGATAATTGATACATTCAAAACCAGTAGCGCTTACCATAACCAAGTGTACATCCTGTAACATAAAATAAAAGATGTGTTGCGATATTTATCGCCGCCATATCCAGAAAAATAACAGATATCAGGAAATTAACTCTACTGGTTGTGATCTATTTTCTTTTTTATCAACATTAGTCTGGTAGAATATATCATGTTTCTTTAAATCAACAAGGAAAGTTTATCTTAAGCTTTAATACTTTTTTACAAAACATTTGACAAATAAATTTGAAATAACCACTATCACGTCTGAATTAAACGGATAACATCCGAGTCTCACTGTCAAATTTTTTGCAATCATAGATTTCTTTTATAAATATATATTTCTAAATGAATTTCGCAATAGATATCATTTATGAGAGTAAAAACGATTATGCTGACGAATGACTTATATTGCAAGTTGTTTTCATATTTGTGTAATGTTCAACATGTATGGGGTAGTTTCAAGATTTTGCAAATCTTTTGGAGCCTCTCGACCTCACCTTCTGCCACTTACAATGATTTTTTTCCTCATGTAATGCATAAAATATTTTGGAATTTTGTTAATTTTGATGCATTATACCACTTATTGTGTTTGCAATTGGTTATAGTCAAAAAAAAGTTAATATACATATTTGGAAGTGTAGTATCTTACATTTTGCTGATGCAAGTAAATTTTACCTGGTCTCAACCAGTGTTTACTTGTCAAACTTTAGTTTTTGTATATACTAGCTGGAAATCTTTCAAGCCTCAATAAACGACAATTTCAACACATACATTAAATATGCAAAGTGAGCAAAGTATGTTAGCAATTTTCTAAGGTGGCTCAAATACAGAAAGAACAAGCTTGCCATTTATAATTAATATTATGCATATTTATCTTTGCTTCATCTACTGTTCATCGGATGTATCAGGTTTGCGAATACATAGTATATAATTTTAGACAATTTGTTCAACTTTAATTATAAAGGTATAAAACATGCCTTATGAGGAATTAAGAGCGGTTTTCCTTTTATTTTCGATGACGGTGATGAGTCACCACGAATCAATTTAATCTTGTTTAATTTGCAAATTAAAAAGAAGAAGGGTGTTTCTTTTAATTTTATATTTGCTTAAGCAACTTCCTCGTCGTTGATTGTGAACTTTTTAAGTGCATTACTTATGGTTAATATGTAATAAATTTAACAAATGCCTAATCGATTTGAGTATTTTTGTGTATTTTTTTTAATTTGCTATCAAACACATCACATTTATTCCTCATTGAAGCATAAAGCCTCAAAACTAATGCCCAATCTTCTAAGGATTCTAAATAGTAATAAGTCGAACGAAACGATGTCCCAAAAATATTTAGAAGTATACGGAAATGTTTTCATCTCAGTTACTTTAATCCTTGAGGGGCTTGGGTATTTGAATTATTGGGTCATTAATACGACAAAATACAAAAATATGAAATCCCTAGAGCTCTCCTTGGTGAAAAATTTTTGCTATACCAGATATATTTTGTAAACATTCGACATTTCTTAAAGTCAAGACAACTTGCTGGTGTTGCTGAGATACACCAACTTCTGTCTCATCCAGTCAAGTTAAGCTTTTACTTGTATCGTGAATAAAAATGTTGCGTTGACAAGTACATGTACTGCATCTGAATAATTGCAGGCACAATAAACATTTTAGGTGTTTATGTATTTATAGGTGTTGCGGTCAATTTCCAATGAAACTAAGCGGAATCTTTTATTGAAAATATACTTAAAAATCATCACTGCTTTTGACTCAGTTTTTGAAATTGGTAAATATGTATGCTTTCCCTATAATAATTAGAAAGAGTCAAATAAAACAAGTTCTACAACAGACAAATAGAAATTCAAGATTCAAACTAAATTTTCAATTTGGCTAGTGAAGAAACAGTACTGTATAGCAGGTTAAAATCGCGGTCGGAAAAGATCGCGATTTGTTAAATTTTCAGCAAATCGCAGTAGTTTGAATTCGCGGAAAAGGAAAAACCATAAATTTCTTGAACACTCACTCAGTACTTGCAAGCATTATTCTGTACGTGTATATTGTGTGAACTGCTATTTCTCGTCTCTGTAGTATAAAATTAAAGTCTGTAATGTATATCGCGCGTACATGCATGTATCAGACAGAAAAGTAATGTCTTTATATTGTGTCGATTTTGATCCCGATTGCATAATAACGAAACACCGGACTGATCCCGATTTGAAGTCAAAATAATGTTACGCATTTAATTTTTTTCTTCTTTCCGGGTCCAAATCAGAAAAAATTAAACCGTAGTAAAATTGTTCAACTTTAAATCATATAATTAAAATTAATTAATTGTCTTTATCCTGTTTATTAAGTAAATGCCTTGATTCAAGGTAATGACTGAGTGATACGCACGGGTGAAATTAAACAAGCATGTTTTATTTTAAAAGATGTTTCCCCCCCTCAAAATTTTATAGTTCAAAGTACAAAAACTGCATTCATTTTCATTTAATATACTTTAAATTTTCCAATTATTACAAAAATGTATACGTTACCATATTATTTAAGATGCGAAACATAAATAAATAGAAGTGTATGTCAACATAAAAAAATTGCACATTTTTTGCAAACAGTAATATGAAAAATATGTAAAAACTGGTTAAAATACATAATTCTGATGCTGAATGTTCCTAAATATTTTGTACTTAAAAGATACTTTTGAATTGTGAATATCAGGGGAACTATTTTACAATAAAGCAAATGCCTGAATGAAGAGACCCTAGAAGGAGTTATTGCCCTTGTCAACATTTTTTAAAGATTAAATAATTGATTAAATATAGAAAAAATGCATTTTTTAAATTCTTTAACTTAACAATATTTATCATTGCACCTATTGTAAAGCATTCTTCCAAGAGATATTGTTCTATTAGGTATGAATGTAAACTAATTACAGTTTTTGCAAAAACCTATGACATCATAGGAGGGTGGAATTACCTTAAATAATTACATCGCACGTCTACTAGATGGCAAAAGTAATCGTTAGCCATAGAAATGAATTAAACAATTACATGTAATAAGCTTTAAAAACAGCAACAACTAAGTGTTTTTAATTGATCCAGACACTCGAATAATTATAACGACAGTCTACATCTTATCACAGAAAATATTAAAATTTCGATGTATCCTTATAAAACTTTTTAAGAATTATTCACTGAATGTTGAATTCGCGGAATTTTATTTTCCGCGAATATAACGAAAATGAACTCCGCGAGTTAATTTCCTGCTGTACAGTAATTATTAGAAAATAATCCCGAATTCTTCTTTGGAAATGCCAAAGTGGCCCGACAAAGGTCCTCCAAATATTCAATGTAGATGTATAAACAGTTATCGGAAGAGAAACAGTGTAGTACTTATCAACGCAACAATTTTAGTCATGATGCAAGAAAAATCATCACGTTATGCCCAGATAGCTTTCACATAAAAATTTCTACTTAACCAGTAAATTATCTGGCTAAAATTTCCAGGAAAGTTTTTGATCATTTTCAATCAAAACATTTATAAAAATCAACAACATACAGACTTAAGGTAGAATTCCTCTCTGAGTAGATGAAATATTCAATGTATATATTTGCATATAATTTTATTTAGATATTTAGGTGAAAGAGATTTAAAAGACTATATTTTTCTTTCGTCATCACAATTGTACAACTTTAAATAGACAAAATTAATTTCGTTATAATTTTTACACAATTAAAGACTAGAAGAATTTTTCAATTGTTAGCTAATTTAATTAATAATAAGGAACTAAAGTTTTAAAAGATATCAAATAAATGTGAATTTCCAAACAAACTACAATTATTTTAGCTTTTAAAAGCTTCAACTCTAAGTACAGATATGTGTCAAAAATCTGTAGAAAGTATTTTTACTCTCTTACTAAACGGTAAAAACTTTGTTTTTGTTTCACTTTGTATCTCTATATGACTGCTCTAGCATATATGAAAATAAGAAAAAATTAAATAAAAAGTGCATATAAAAATAACTTAAATACCCTAAAAATATAAGAAAAGTAGAGAAAATTCGGATCAGTCAAAATGCATTTTTGTTAAACTATTTATATTGATTTGGTAATATTATCATCTGATAGACCCTATATGGTCAAATCTTTTTATGCAAAATGAAAAATATTTAATCTTTTGAAATTGAAAACCCTATCTCATGATTGGATGCAATTATTTTTGTTCTTAATGACCGGGGAAAAGGTCATACCCTTGACCTGACCTTGACTCTTATAAAAATGGTCAAAACTAATCTAACTAATACAATCACATCTATGGATAGACTAAAATTACATTAATTTTTAAATACAAGAAATGCAGTTTTGAGTGAGAAAAATACTACATTAAGACTTTTCAACTTAGATACAACTATTCCCCACAATAAATAATTTCCAGGCTTTCTGACATTATTGACAGCTGCTTTTCAATAAAAAATGGAACTCGCAAATTTACTTTCCTTTTCATCTGCCATTTGCAAAATTACTTTGTTAAAAAAATTCTGATTGAACACGATACACACAAGTGCTTTGAAGTCGATGCTAGTATGAAAAAGATGCTCGAGTTTCTGAATGACATCTCTACGTGGTTTTTTGACATAAAGATATTTATATCGACGACGTATAGTCGACTAACAACTGTTATGTATTATTTATCAGTTGATTCGATACTCAAGAAGACTAGAAAAATATTCTTCTGAAATATGATATCACTGATGACAGTTACAAATTAGTTTTGAAATATATATCATCATTATCTTGGATTTTTAGTTCGGAAATTTGATATTGAAACCAATATGATGGAAAGTGAGAAAGGAAAACATGAATATTTTTATATCTATTTATTAATTATATTTTCAATAATAGTTTCCAATCTATTTATCAAATGACTAATTTTTTTTTTTTTGGTTTTTCTCCAGAAGTATTATTTGTCAACTTAACCTTATCAAGATTTTTTGAATTCTATTTTGATTAACCCCTGTATGCATTTTAAAGTATTCCATTTCTTAAAGATAAAAGGATCAATAATTCAAATTAAAATTTTTATCTTAACCATTCCTTAATTGATAGAATTATATCTGTCGTTTTGCTTATTGAAATTTTGATATAAAATAGTACATAATCAAGGTAAGACCAAATCACTTATCCTGAACTCCAAATGATAAAAGCGTTTGACGTTATTTAGATACGGCAAAATGCATGGAGCAGATTTTTATAAGATGACCAACTGTGCTCAGTTGAATTATCATCATGGTAATAAAAATAGCAGATCGTGCATATTTCAAGTGGTAACATGGCTATATATGCGCGGTACGATTTCTCTTTTATCACTTTTATTCCATTTCAGGAGCGACCATGAATCAGTTACCCATTGTCCTCGTGGTTTTTCTTTTGATTTCTCCTCTCTCTCCTATCAGAGGTAAGGTGCATTGATTATAAATTTCTCTACTGTCTTTGTCAAATGCAAAAGGATTTACATTTTAAAAGAAACAGGTTACTGTATTTTATTTAAGTTTCTTTGATGTCTTAAATAGAAATAGCATAGTAATGGATAATACTCCCCAATTTTAATTTATAAAGATTTATGTTTATTAATGTAAGTTTAAGATTATCATTGAACATTTAAGCAATGAATTTAATATAAGAAGGATCATGAGGACATGAACTGTGACGATTCACGGCGGCATATTTCATAATGAGCATGTCATTAAGGTACTCCGATCCCCAGGTTCTGAAAATTAAGCATTGACTTATTGAAAATGCTCACAAAAATGTCTGAATTTTTTAAAGTAACGTTTTTTACCCATAATAATTCTTCAAACTTCATTTTTCAAGTTAATCATATTATATAGAGAAAATTAGTAAATCTCATATTATATACATATGTCATAAATATATTTCTTGGAATTGTGAATAAAACACCTGCCATACATTATTTAATTCAAATTTGATCAATTAACATATTTTAAAAATAAAAAATCATAGGTATCCAGGCATTTGAAGAAATTCGACAATTTTTATACCTATAATATACCTTAATTTCTTTTATTTACTTCGATCATTTTACAATACAAAGTGTAGAAAGATTCTCCTGTCATTGCTAAGCTCCATAAATCCCTTCTAACTTCATACCATGTTAATAAACATTGATATCTATGGATAGATTGAAATTAACATCAATTTTTTGATACATGTATATGCAATTTTAAAATTCTTTTCCGGGGTAAAATTAGACCTTTCTGAGAACTACAAAGAACCTTGAAGCACATTTAGAGGTATATAATGAAAATTGTTGCATGAAAAGATTAAATGTTTAAGATTCATTTTGAGATTTTTTTAATCAAATTTTAAATTAAAGAGCTGTCCTTCCTAGCTGAGGATAGGAGTCCCTTAAAAATATCCCAATGTGAAGCGTATAGCTTATCATATAATTCCTGAGTTTTAAAATTAATTCATTTCTTATTTTGACATTATTTTGCGGATGAATTGCCACAAAGTACGTCATTCAAAATGTCATTAATAAAGCAAAAGAATAAATCTGTACCATAGTTTTGACGCCAGGAAGAGTAATATGATGTACTATTGAAGACATCTATGCTTTTCCATGATAGTTCATGTAAAAGTGATCAGTCTCATACTTTACAAATTAAAGAATCTAAAGGAAGAATTATTTCGAAATTTATATGGTTTGTTTTCAATAATTACATTTCCAAATATTTTCATCTTCGCTAGCTAAGGGTATTCTCTCCGCACCGCTCCCCATAAATCCTTTATGGGGAGCGGTGCGGACCGAAAACCCTTGGTGAGCGAAAATGATTTTTTTTTAAATATACCGACGTGTACCGTTCTAGTTGATGTCCTCGTGCAACTTGAAAAAATTATTTCACTTCTTAAGTACACCTACCTTGAAAATAGAGCTAAAATATATTACATATAACGACAGATGAAGATTGTACACAGTTGAATTCGTGAATTTTTATTGTACGCTGAAAAGTGCCAAGTGGTTTTAAATTAATAAGTTTTAAAATGGTCCCTGTATCGTATTTTTCTTCATTTCTCATTTTAGGGGACGACTCTCCATGCTGGTCTAAGTATGGGAGATGTCAATATACATCCCAACCTTGTTATAGATATATAGCAGGGTATTGTGCTGGACCAACCAACAGACAATGTTGCGTTTCTGGTAAACTATACCAATATATTTAAAAGAATATTTGAGGGGAAATCGAACACAAATATAGAAAAAAACAAAAAAATGATTAAACCTGATATACACAATTTCAGTAAAATTTAGTTTAAAGTGCCATGGGAGAAGAGCAAATAATCATCATGCACTCAGATAAAAATGATAGAATATTTACATTTATATATTTACTCATCAGAATATTTTTAAAATCCTTACACAATACTTTATCTATGTAAATACTTTGTTTATTAATTACAGGAGCGGATGTTCAATGTTGGAGGACAGGTGGCATTTGCAAAGATAATTCGAACTACTGCAGTGGCAGATATCTGAGAGGTCTATGTGGCGGGGGTTTGTCTCGCCAATGTTGTGTTTAACTAAACCTGCTTGTCACTTCCTAATTTTGAAAATGAATAATGGCTCGAATGATGTGAGTCATATTTTTATGAGAAATAAAATATTTTGCCATGTTTTGAAGGAAATGACCATATTTCTGATCGGGAATACATGTCTTCATTGCAAATCAATGTAAATGAAACGCCTCGTGATGTTGAAATCATTTGCAAATTAAAAAAATCTCTTGAGTCTGAACTTCTCAAATGATTGCGCCCATGACAAAAGGGTCCTTATGGCAACTTTGCTAAAACAGAGAAATAACGTCATAAAGATGTGACGTTGCAGAGTGACGGTGAACTTCGACACAAATTTTTTTAACCACGTGTTTTGACGTTTGACGCATCCAGATTTTTTAACGCTGTTTCCAACAAGTGGAATTTATTTTCATTTATAAATCAATTTAATCAATATCTGAATCTCCTAATCCACTGATTTTAATAGATAAATAAATAAAAACATTTAGAACTGGTTTCTTAACAAACATTATTAAATACGTCTCTATAATACCAATTATAAATAGTTTTCCTACATGCGTAAATGTATAGAAGCTGTAGACAAGGTGTTTTCTGATAAGATAATGAACGTTTATTCTCTAGATAAATTTTATTTACATATTTATACCATTTTTAGAATACATCTTAGACAAGGCCGTATATCGTAAAAAAATATTGCAAAGGAAAGTTGTATTCCTACTTCTTTGAGATCCGCTCCACCACTCTCAAATATACATCGCGATCGCGTCGATCACATGTAAACATTTATTCATTGGTGCATACTGCTTAACCTGTTGTTAAATTGTTTGTACAAATGTTGAAACTAAACATACATCTTCCATGCAAGTTTTTTTTTACAAATCTAGCAAGAACAGTATAGTCAAGATTTGTTTTTTCTATAAATAAAAATAGGAGAGATAACTCTGATGTCAACAATCGATGTAACAGGGGTACCAGACAGGGACATTCATTTTAATTGCGTACTTTTTCACATTTCAGCTGCATGTTCGCATAAATTTGCTTCCGGATTATAAAAGAGATATTTTATGACCAAAGTAAAACACTTTTAATCGTCAGCATAATTATGAATTTTTAAATAAAAAGATATTGCTGTACGTTGGGAATAAGCTAGGTTATAGTAGGAAAAGGAAAAACAAAGAAAAAAAAAGGAAAACTGCAAAATTGAACAGACTTTAATTTTTTTTTCAAATCTCTTATCTATAGCTTTTTCTTTTTTTGCATGAAATAATTTCATAACGAATTTCATTTTTTTTTTTAAAATAATAAACATGTAAAGCGTCTACTTTATAATCATGATTAAATAAATTAAACTTTAAAAATGTTGTTTTGTCTTATATTCTTGTTGCACAAAGACACTTCAATTTAGAGAAATTAAAACAAGCAAAAATATTCGAATGAAAAAAAAAATGTTCTTAATGTTCTTACTTAAATAGAGCTGGTCAAATTAATCTGATGTGAGAGAGAGAGAGAGAGAGAGAGAGAGGGGATGCAGGGTAGATAAAAATATTTATATTGAATCTATTCATCTAATATTGAGAAATGTGAAACTATTGAAAAAGACGAGTTTTCAAAACAAATGAAATAAATGAAAAAAAAATTCATTTTTGTTCTCTAAACTATATATACAAGTATAGCTATTTATTTTCAAGATCTCCAAATTTAATATACATGTAACTCTTTGGTACTTACGTGTTGTTGTTTTTTTTTTTTTCATACGGAGTTCAAATGTTTTAAGCATTATCTGCAAATTAATTCCCTAAGCCATGACGAACTTTGTCTTTCATATAAAAGCTCGATCAGCATTAAATGTCTCTTAATTAACAGATCAATTATCATGCTAAAAACTCAATCATCACTGAGCTTATAATCTCATTGCAGTTATCAGTGTGGAATAATATATTGTTTAACCTGCCATCAAATTATGGATAAATATTATTAAATATGCTCAAATATGATTTTATTTGTTTTGGTTGATAAAAAAATCCTTATAAGTTCAGGGTCGGGTTTTATATATACATGTAAATGCTAACAGAAAATAAAATTCAATGTTGAAAATACATGACATAAAATCGCAACAATATGCTTGCATTTTGTTTTATTTTGGCAGCAGTGCAGGTGATGGGGGTGGGGGTGTCCTTATATATATCCGTAACATGTAGGCTTTACAAGGCTTAGCATATCCAAGCTTCTGGCACCGGGCACGTAGCATCGTTTTTGAAAGGGGGGGGGGCAGCCAGAGAAATTTTTTTTTACTTCTCTGAAAAAGTTGACAAGCAAAAAAAAAGGTTTTATGTTACAAAAAGTCGAAAATCCTATTTCGTGGGGAGGGGGGTTGGGGGTTGGTAGAGGCCAACTTTTTTTTTTTATGTCAACTACTTTCAGTACCAATTTTTATACTACGTTTTCCGTACATCACTAATAGTGGGGGGCCAACCAGACTTTCAATTATCAATTCCTATGCATGTGGTATAAGTAAGGTTGGGGAAAAAGTGAAGGGCCAGACCCCCTTGCCACCCCCCCCCCCTCCTGTTGCCACGTCCCTGGGCACGGGACCAGAATGGAATTCATACTCTTTAAAACTCACTTTATAGAATAAAATTAGAAAACAACATTAGAATGAAGGGGATTTTTTTAAATTAAGTCATAAATAATATGATGATTTTCTAAGATGTTTACATCCCTACAAAAATCTGACATTTCAAAGCTCAGCCAGTTCACAGGCAATTGTCAAGAAATATATTTTACAAAACAGTCATATTCAACTGACTGTATATTTAGGCATAAACAATTACATGTTATTAATCTTTAACACACCCCTACCCCAACAAAAGCTATACATATAAACCGCGTAAATGGCATCTTTAATTTAATTCTATGGTTGTGCTTCTAAAACCATCCATTTTATAAAATAAAACCAGATTTTTTAATTCTAGGGTATCATTATATACATGATTAACAATACTTAATTCATAGCAATTCAGTTCCAGGCTCATAGCGTTTATGATCGCTATGATGATGATTTTGAAAATGGCAATGCTCAGAATTAAAGGTAGAAATATAAAATGAAGAATAATAGGCAGCATTATTTCAAACCTAAATAAAAAAGTGAATCTGCAAGTTGTAGGGTTAATGGTACTGGGTGCACCTAAAACTTTTGAAGTAAAATAAAATATTTTTATTATTTATTTTAACTCGTGTTCACAAGAATTGTAAGTTTCTGCCATTTAGATTTTTACCCCCCCCCTCCACCAACACACGCATAATCCTACCAATATTAACCTTTGGTCTGACAATCTATTGTGTAAATGATTGCGGATTATAACTCATTAAATTGTTTATAAAATTTCCACCTTTTGATTGGTTAATATTAATATATTTTTACTGCTACATTGAAAAATATTTCGTGTATCCTTTATATTTTAAAAAAAAAAAGCAGTGTCATTATTGACCCAATGAAGACAGACAACCTTATAGATGCAGTGAATCAACCGAATTTCCTTTTTATTTACTGTCTATTGTGTATCGTTATTACATGTTACATGTACCACACTTCACAATTTTCTGTCTTTATATAAAATTTAGAAAGAAAGAACAATCAAATAATTTTTCACTTCTCAGTAGCATTTAGGTAGCATAATGTTGTTCCAGATATAATTTTAAAAAGATTAATTTTTTCACATAAATTATAACTAAAGATATATCGTTTATGCTGAAATCTTTACCTATCGAGAGCAATGTTTAAATTAAAATAAATTTCAGATGAATTCTACAGGCTTATCAAATGACTCTTGCATGGATTACCAGTAAATATTTTGTTTGAGAAAATAATTGTTTCAAAAAAAAAAAAAAAAATGAATGGATGTTGCCCACTGTTCAGGTCTCCCCCTCGTGTCATAGATAATACTATACACCACTGATGAATCCATAATATATATAACTATCAAATAATTATTAATAATTAAAAGAGACAATCAGATAAAAATAATGTGCATGGAAAAATATTAAATATTATACAACTATTAATCACCGTAGTAAATTTACAGAAGAAAATCATTTAACATTCAATCTGAAAACGTTTGACGTTGTTGAAAAACATGACGTCATTATTAACCTGTTAAAGTATGTTTGATAAAACTGAAGAAAAAACCTACTTAGAGTAAACGTAGGGCCATAAAAATTTATATTTGACAACTTCTAACCTTACTCTATCAGAATCCGTGAAAAACTCAAAATGCATAAAAATTGCCATAAGGACCCTTTTCACATGGGCGCAATCAAATATTGTATTCAATAAACAAGAACACTATGCAATTCAGCTTTCAGTGATAGCAATGTAGTTTAAGCTCACCTGGGCCGAAGGCTTCAGTAAGCTTTTCGTATCAAAATTTGTCCACTGTCTGTCGTCGTATTCGTTCTCCTTTTAAGAACCACCTATCCAATTTCAACCAAACTTGCCACAAAATATCTTTGGGTAAAGGAGATTCAAGTTTGTACGAATGAAGGGCCAAGCGCTCTTCCAAGGGGAGATAATTATGAATTAATGAATTTTTTTTAATTTTTTTTGTTCTCAGAACCATTGGGCCAAGAAAGATGAAACTATGTGACAGCATCTTCAGGAAGTGTAGATTCAAGTTTGTTCAAATCATGACCCCCGGGGGGTGGGCGGGGCTACAATGGCTGGCCAAAGTTTTACATGGGAATAAATAAGAAAAAAAACTTCAAAAATCTTCTGCTTCAGAACCATTTGGCCGGACAGATGAAAGTGAAAGCATCCTCAGGTAGCGTAGATTCAAGTTGTTCAAATCGTTTAGGACAAGGCCACAATAAGGGATCCAAGTTTTCCAGAAGGATATTATTAGTTACACAGTCAGTTAGTGACCTAATACGGATTCATACAGGGTGTGAAATGGAAATCCGTATTGAGCGAGGTGAAGCCGATGGATTTCCATTTCACACCCTGTATGAATCCGTATTAGGTCACCAACTGACTGTGTAACGAATTTATCCCGCTGTAGATCTTTTTCTGTATAAAAAAAAAAAAACATTTGTGCATA